AAGCAATGAATAAAATATACAAAAATAAAAAAAAAAAATTGAAAATGAAGAGAAAAAATCAAATACCATTAAATTGTGCAGTATTTACTTTTACTTTGCGCTTCATTCATACGAATCCTTTTCGAGTGAAAAGATATCTGAAATTTGATTTTGATTTCTAAAACATTAACCAACTACAAGCATACAAACATATTTACATATATATTTATATATGTATATATAAGCACCATATATACAAGAGCCCAACACACATACAACATAAAAGCCTCACAAAACACGGCCAACTAATCAGCATAGCCAAAAGCTAGCAGCAGCAATTTACATAATACTCATACGTCTCGAGTGCCTGCTTAGCCAGAAACGGTGCAACACAACATTTGAACAACCCAATCAATAACCAATCAATCACAAACTCAAACTCAAACCGAATTCAGAACATTCGATCGATCAAACACACATACACATAAAAAAAAATCCTCAAATACAAGCCACACAAGAAAATTAAACAAAATTACAAATGCAAAAGCAAGAATCAACAAGAAATTTAACACAGAAAAATGTTTTGTTTTGAATTTTAGTTCTCAACAACTCATTTTGGGTTCTGGCTTTGTGTTTTTTTTCTATTTTTTTTTTTTTTTTTGCTTACTTTATTCACTTTATTTCGAATTTAATGTGTCGCCTACTCTACGTAGGCCGACACCATTTAGAGTGTCAATTATCGTTGACAAAGTTACCAGTGCGGTGGTGCTTGAGGAATTAAATTTTATGTTTGGAAGAGCTCGCCACATCAATATTGATTTGATTTACTGATTTCTTATATATTTTGTTTGGATTGGCATTTTTGAGAACTATTGAAACCTGATTCCAAAACTGTATCGTACCTTAAACTGTTCTGAGTGTATAATGTGCGTACTCTTAACTACCAAATTTATCTTGTAAGTTTAAAAAATTCTTATTGAACGCCAAATTATCAATCTACTCTTCTGCTACTTTCTGCTCTTTATAAATACATAATTACATATATCTTGCTCTAAATTTGTTATATTTCTTTATTAGTTTATTAGTTTCTCAGCGCTTATTCTCAGCGCAGGTGTTGCACGTTTTCAGTTCCATTTTCAGTTGACTTAAAACGATTGTCTATCTATGCAGCTAAATAATAAAAAAATATATATACTTTACATGGGGGTCTCGTGGGGCGGTAAAATACTTATGATTGGCAAAACTATAAATGAAAAGCAATAACTGAAAACAAAAAAAACAGCCGTTAAATAGTTTCTTTGATTTAATTCGTTTTGTATGCCATCATCTAGTCATTTTGCATTGTATTAGCCCTTGAAGAAACAGTGATTGGTGTTTAATATTATGTTACATATTCGTAATTGTCTATATAGTCCTTGATATCGAAGTCGTAAAACGTATATATATGTATATTATGCAATCAAATTTTAAGCGATCAAACATTCAACGGTAATAATGCATATTATAATATTCCATAACAACAAATATTATACGTAAATATTAGAAATGCATAAAACAATGTACACACACATACCTTCATTTGTCAAATGGTTAAAACTAAATATCAATTTCTTGAAGAGATTAACTTGTAAATAATCCACCTGTCACTGAAGATTTTAAATTAAAACCTAGAATACTGTTATTATATTTTTGGCTAGTCTGTAAAGCTTACTTCTAGGAAAGGGACTTAATTGAAAAAAGTCTTTTTTCATTTTTCAATTGTCCAGCCATGCATTTAAATTGTTTAACAATCATGTGACATAGAAAAATGAAATATGTGTGTGTAACATATTTTAATAAATAAAAGTTAAACTAAAGAAGCTCATATATATACAAACCATATATTACTTTCACTCTCTGTCTACCCGACTGTCTCTTTTTCTGTCAGTTATCAGCTACTACTTATCAATGTTGTAGTTCTTGAGAAATTTGTATTTATATCTTCCGCAATATACTCGATTTCATAAATAATACAAAACTAATTGTAATTATTAATTTCGTATCTTTTTGGTTGTTATTATTGTAATTATTGTTTCTCAGTGCTCTATTACTATTCTATTCTATTCTATTCTATTCTATTCTACATAACTACAATAAAACATGGTACAATCAATAAATATACGAATTGGCGCATATAACAATACCGTACACGATTAAAGATAAACATCAATCACATACTTATGTAACCAAGAATTGTAAGCATTGTTATGGCTAAATCGGTATATCTATTATTACTATCTATAAATCGCAACTTTTTTAGTGTTCTGTATGGATGCGATAAAGTATTGAAATGAATCGAAACCAAGCCAAATGAATTGGATTGATCGATTGACGCCATTTGTCATCTAGATGATTCTTCCTTACACTTTCGATCTTTTAGTTGACGTGTAGTAATCTGATCAAAGTGTAAATGTTTAGGCTGCCGTTGATTTAGTTTTGTGAACTGTAAAAAAAATCCTCGTCGTGTGATCAATGGTTCAACAAGTACACTATACTCTTACTGTATGAAAAGTCTTACGCTTAGGTGAGTCCAGTTTCAGGAATCCAGCGACTTACTTGGAAAAGTTCGACCGTAAAATGATACACAATCCGTAATGAAAACACGTACCCGATACCGTTTCCACAGCTGTTTCCGATTCCTTCCAATACATACACATTATGCTCTTATTCTGTTATTATTATAAGCTCTCAACTTCCTACCAATTTTCCAAAATTCATTTGTTGTTTTTTTTCTTTACTTTTCACCTAGCCACAAACATTTATACCATTCATGGCACATATAGGATTCATCTGAAATCGAATCAACATTATTTTGTAAATGAAATTTATTTGTTATTAATATTCATGTGTGGAACACATGAGTCGTATTTAAATATATCAAAAATGAATAGAATAAAAATGAAATTATGAAAATGCGTGGCCAGGCATCAAACTTGTAACTTTTCACGGAACTTGTTAATTTGAATAATTAAGATCAAATTATATTCTAAAAACAGCAACGACAATATTCTAAAAACTCAGCACATTTTTATTAAAGCAAATATTATTGCAATTTAGTATTATAGTTAGTTGATTTGCCTGCGAACACAAATTTAATACGACTTTTCTCAAACACCAACATCTTTGACACTGTAGTTGATAATTCACCTAATTAGTTATTAGCGATGCATCCACTTTATCTTATATTGTTCATTTTAAATACAAACATATCGAAGACAACAAAACACATGGTAAAAATAGCATAAGTGATAAATAAATTGCAATTTCCATACGTCTTTTTCTATTCGAAAGTTGCAAGTATGCAAACAATTAAATATTCTGTGCGTATCATAACAAGTTCTTAAATGATTTGAACTGGTTTTGCATTTGAATATTTTGCTTACGGGATAGAAGGTTATCTTAATTTCGATGCTTTAATGGATCGAAATAATGATTAATTTCAAGTTGATTCTTCAAGTGCAATTTTGTGCTTTTATGTGGAATTTCTATGTATGATTCTCATCGTTTACATTTAGAATGGTTTTTGAAGGATCGTAATGTGCCAACAATTTTTTAATTGCTAATTATATTAAGGCAATCTGTATAATGAAAATTAATATATGTCAGTATAAGACAAATCACACATACATACATACATATCTCGACGATGTTGATATGAAGTGGATAAAAATCTCATCACCGATAAGAACACAATAATAACACACAATGAATGCATGTTTTAACTGATGCACCCTAAGATTAATAGGTTTGAGTATGCCTGCCCGGTTGCCTGATTGCATGCTTGTATTAATCGTATATGTAGAATACAGATATATATATATATATACAAATAAATATATGTGCATATATACAGATATTCCCGAAAAAACACTGTAGACTATGATTGGAATGAGAGTAGTTATTTAAAATGCAATTACATACTCTGTATATACAGCCGAAAAACAAAAAAAAAAAAGAGAACAAAATAAATATAAGTATATACACAGATTTGGTAATTGTTGATGCTTTATACGATGCATGTAAGTTGATTATTGCCAACGGTGTGCGTAGCTATTTTTTGAAGTTAGTAATACATTTTTATTTTACCTTCTTGTTTGACTTGTCGAATACAACTGCAAAGCCATAAAAAGCTGTTTTGCACATGTATGTATATATTTTAAGTTGGTTTTTCCTTTTGTTTTTTTTTTTTTGACATTTTGTTACATTTACTTTGTGTTCAAAGAGATTTCTGGGGTAGCAGACTAAATTCATGCATATTGCAGTAATTCTTAATTTATTGTTTCGTTTTTTTTTGTGTCAATTTGTATAATTTTCGTATTTTAATTTTATGAAAATACAATGTAATTTATAATTATAATACTATTTACTGTTTTAACTACAAAATAACACTGACAAGTTATAATAGTAATCATAATGAAAACAAATCAGTTGATAACCAATACAAATGATATGAAAATATTAATATATAAATAAATAATATAAAAAAAATGTATACACTCAGTATATAACACTTACACATACACATAACACACATTCATCAAAGACACACACACACATCGAACAAGCGCTTTATAATTGTACTATAAACTTAAAAGCTGGTTTTCAGTTTACTTCAACAAATCTTGTATAAATTGTTAAACTTGAAAAGGCCAAATATTCTGCCGAAAAAAAATTACAAATTATTTGACATATTTAAAATTCTATAAATTGTTGCAATGCTTGCAACAGGTTTCCACAGCGCTACTGCACACACACACACACATGCGCACACACAATGACATCAAAATGCATATACACCTGAACATTAAAATCTGCACACTAACACACTGATACAGCTAAAATACATGAGACATGTACACGGCTTAATGCATCCCACTCTTAGGTTAAGCCAAACTCTTGCTTTGAATATATTAATCAACATTTAAAGCGATTTTACTAATATATTTCTCTTTATTATACAAATACACAAAACCCGTTCCCAGACATATTGTGGTATGCGGTCATATAACATACGAATCCGTGTCGCATTTCCTGAAGGACTTTCTGCACGAAGATCGTGAAGATGTCGATGTCGAAGTAGTCTTTTTACATCGGTAAGTTATCAACAATACCTGGCTATAACATTAAGAATTTGTGTGATAAATTTGTAACTGTGATTATTTACATATTTATTTTCGTAAAATTTGTTGTATTCTATGACATATGTATAATTTCAATGAAATCAGCAACGACAAATAAAAATTTAGTGCAGTATTTAAGCAGAAATGTATTGCAGCAAGCAAGTGCCCTTAAAAGTATGCTAATCCAAATGGTTTTTGATTGTGCTAATTGCTTGCTGCTTTATATAGTTGAAGGTCTCAGTCTGTTAAGTTTATAATAATAATAATTAGTCAAAGCACTTATTTTAAGTATTTGCATTATTATCGCATTAGTTACTAGTTATCGCAAAATTCAACTTATTTATTTTTTAATAAACATGTGTAAATTTGATTTACATAATTAATTAATATTAAACTCAACTATATACAATAAATGAACGTAATGTAAAACCAAATAGCAAAGAGCCTGACCTGGAGCTAGAGGGACTGCTGAAGCGCCACTATACAACAGTGGCGTTTTTTCAGGGCACTATGATGAACGCAGTCGATCTGGAACGAGTCAAGGTACACAAATACACTTCAAGGAGCAATACTTAAACATATTCACATTGAGAGACACAGAACCACAGACACATATACATACACACACATACAGTACTATAAACAGCATACACTTACACAAAGATACTGAAATAACTGGTCGATTGTGTTTTTTATATTGAGGACGAGCTAAGTTTGCTCAAACTCAAAATCGCGTCACACTGTGAATGTTTATTAAAACTGGCTACATAGGCTTTAGACCGCGATGCGACCACATAAAATATACATACATATAGTTAGCAACAAACTAGTGTTTCACTTTAAATGCCAACCTCAAGTCCTTTAGTTCGATGGGCCAATATGCCAGCTCACAGCCACTCCCAATTCTCAACATTTGCTCGTTCTAACTCTTAACTCTTCGTAATATGAATTTGGTTTCTTGCAATTTTTCCTCAAGATTTTGTTTGATTAATATTTAAGTTTACACTTGGCAGATACTTGCAATACATTTTCAATGGATACGAAAAGGATACAAATAGTTATGCTGCAAGCTAACTGGCACTTGTGGATGCTGATCTATCCATTTTCAGATATTGCTCATTTTCTATTTATTTATAATTAAATATTTTTTTTTAATATTTGTTCAATCCTTAAGAGAATACTTTGTAATAGATTTATTAAACACTTAATTTCACGATTTTCGATACCTACAATAAATTTATAGTCATTTTTCAATTTGTTCACGTTGGCTTTCAGTAATACTAATAACCTGCTCAATGGAATGTCCTCTTAGCTGAAATTTTATTCAAGTTTGAATTTTGTATTCTATTATTTGTTGATTATATAATAACATAGATAAAAGTCAAATTAATATATATTTATATATATTAAATTTTGCATAGTATAAGATTCAAACTTTTCATATATATATATATATCTTCTTTTTTTTTTTGAGTCGCAGCACCTTTTGCTTTTTAATCAAAGTACTTTTGTACTTTTGTATCATATGAATTTCCGAGCATTTCTCGTATCTACAAAACTTAAATAGATACGAGTCTTTATTTGCGCAGCACAATTAGAAAACTACATATGATGATTGACGGTAATAATTATAAAATGTTCCGATTAAACTTAAGTTTTCATATCTATATGTATGTAATAACTAAAACTTGAGATATTTGTATTACATATATGTACATATGTACACTAGAATATGTATTTTATTAGTTATTTACGAGAGCTTATCTATTTTAGTAGTTAAGTTTAGATCATAGATTAGACATTCTTAAGTCAATACAATCCACCTTATTAGGAATAAACATTTTCTAAATACTATATACATATTTTTGTAAATAAATTTATATTTTAGTTTATGTTAATTTGTGGATAATTCATAGACTATTTCGCCGTTCGCACATTTGATTTGACCAAGCACTATAATTTTTGCATTATTTATTATTCTTTTTTCATTTGCATAATCCAACTGCACAATTATGAAAATATGTGTATTAATTGTGAAAACTTTTGGTTTGAATACAACCCAATTTTCCCCAAAAAAAAAAAACTGTGTACATTGGAACATAAAAATAACACCAAACTACTCTAAAAACTTTGTATAATTTTTCCAAAACAAAAAAAAAATGTTCGTCCAAATACTATTTTAACAAAAAAAAAAAACAAAAAAAAATTCAAAAGTAAACCACCCGATTTGGAACTTGAGGGTTTGTTCAAACGTCATTTTACCACCGTGGAGTTCTTCCAAGGAACCATTATGAATCCGATTGATCTGCAAAGGGTTAAGGTAAAACAATTTTTTATTTTATATGTTTCTCTATGTTTCTTTGTTTATTTTATAATTTTGAGTAATTCTTTGTCGTTTTCATTTGTGCGTGTTTCCCCAACTTCAACTACTTAAACCAACCCCGACAAATTGTTAACATACTTACACACTTACCATAACGAACGCTCATACAAATGTACCAACTACCCATACACATCATATATATATATATATATATATATATATATATATATATATATGTATGTATATGTAATTGTATTTGTTACAAATACTATGTACTAAATATGTATTTATGTAATGTTTATAAATGTATGTATGTAAATCATAGCTATAAATGTGCTCATTATTCATTGTGGCCTACTCCTTGCTGGCTTTAGTTTTGTGTACATCAACGGAGCAACATTCATTTGTATCTACATATGTATCAGTTGGTGAATTGCAATGCGTTAGAAGCTGCAGCCTTAGACTACCGATATTTGTGTTAACTTGTATACTCTATAAAAACACATACATTTACATACATACTTACACGCCCACGATAATTCTAACAGAGCCACAGAAGAACACGGATACACTGTAAATTGTTGACGTTATTGTGTATGCAAACATTTATCGTGATTCATTATTAGCTTAAGCGGCATTTAAATACTATAATGTTATTTTTAACTTACTTATATATGTATGTATGTGCTAAGTATATTACTGCATTTTAAATACTAAAATATCTAAATTGTTAAGTATATTTACAATTAAAAGAACTTTAATTCCGATGACAAAAAGTTATAAATTATCAGATACAACAATTTAGGAAATATCTATTCAGGAAAGCTAAACAATTCTTGTTGCTTAAACCACTATAATGAATGAATTTAAAATAAATCTAATATAACTTGGGGTTTATATTTATTCAGAGTTTTGTATTTAATACAGAATATATGTCCGCTTCATGCAATTTATACTACGCGATTCAAGCGACCAAAAGCGACTGACTCTTACTTCATGTAAGTAGCTTAAACATACCATCGAAGAAGGTCTTGATTATAAGGAACTGACAATTACCGTTGCTCGCAGGCAACAACAGATTAAGACTGCAAGACGGGAATGCAAGACAAGCTGCGGTGTACATAGGCAAATACAGTTATTTCCAACAAAATCTATGAATACTTGTATATGCTATGAATGTTTAACAGTATTTAGCGCGAGGCAGTATAAGATATAAATGGATTCGAAGCACCCAACAAACATATTCTAAACACTAATCTGTTAAGAAACAATAGAATTTTCTTGGGATGTACTATAGTTCTTATATACATTTTTTTCTTTAATTGACAGATTGTAAATACAAATTAAACAAGAAAGGTGTGATAGTAATAAACTCTTATTGTACAATATAGTCTGCTTAAAAGCTAAAATTTTAGGAGGTAAGTGAGCAACAAAATAGTGTTGGGGAAAGTTCAAGAGTTTACCAGCGTTGGTTTTCTAATCTACAAGCATCAAAAATCCATTTAAAAATTCATTGAAGGCGGGTTTTATTTTTATTTTTTGGCTAAAATATTATAGCATCAAAGATCCATACGTTTGTTATTTGGAAAATCCACTAAATAAAAATTTGTAGGCAAGGTTGTGTAGGCCTGCAAATTATATAATCTAAAGTACAACATTTTATAATATTTGCTTCAAAAATGGTGGCAGGAAAAAGTTATTGTACATTTAATATAAATAAATAATAAATAGAATATACTTTTTTTTTAACAATTTAAATATTTTGTTGAACAGATGATTTGAATGCTCTGCATTATGACCAGAGTACAACTGCATATTTGAATTCATTCATCTAATATAAGATTATGTAACGCACAGATAAAAAGCGCCTTCAGTGCTCAAGTATACGTTTATTCCTGTACATTATGTATATATTTGAATATTGAAATTGAAATATTCAATCGATATGGCCTATACCCGTATCTATATCTGCAAACAAAATTAATCTGCTCTCAAACAATGCTTCTCCCTTTTTGTTGTAAATATATGACAACAACAAAACTGCTTGGGAAAGGACCAGGCGGTCTGATAATTCTTTTGCTTTTCTATATCTATTGTTCTGTGGAAATTGCATGCTGCATGTGGGCTGTGTTGCATGTAATAACAAATGGCTTGCAGTTAAAGAATATACATATGCATGTGTACATAAAAATCAATTATGTAATGCAAACTTGATTTTGGCTTTTTGGTTTGTATACTTGCTTTTATCTTTGGTTTTGATTCAGAACACCCTAAACGACACCCGAGTTCTTTGTATACCTCTACCTCCACCCATGCACCGAGCGTTCGCTTTTTCAGTTGTTATTATTGTTGTTGTCACCTATGAACTGGAAGTTGAACAACAAAATATTAATAAAAAAAAAAACCGAAAACAAATCCAGTTACCAACAAAACACCAACAAATTAAATAACCGCTTACTGTCTCCCTATCGCCGGTGTTGCCAAAGCTAATCAAAGTCAAGTACTTAATGTGTTTGCAAGAAAACGGTGCAACGTTAAATCGTGTCCCAATCATATACAAACACTTCACTTGTGACATTTCAACTATTTGTACTATACTTAGTTGTGCAGTCAATGTACGTGTAAACCGCTTACTAACTTTAACTGTTAATAATACGACAAGTCTGTATACATACATAATACCGAGACACAACGTTAAGAGATCACAATCACTAAACAACACTTAGCCACCTAACAAAATACATACAATGTACTTAACCAAACCATTACCACTTTGAACAGATCAACATAACAATACTTACATTAACAACAAACGTCTATAGCTCTGCCAAGCTATAACAAAGACATAGACAAATGACTAATATATACATATATATATATATTAAAAATTATTTCTTTGAATATTTAACTAATCAAATAATATTCTACAAAACAAAAAACAAAAAATAAAGGTACACGAAGCCGACGCCTGCCTGGTGCTAGCTAACAAATATTGCCAAGATCCCGACGCAGAAGATGCTGCCAACATAATGCGAGTTATCTCGATTAAGAACTACAGCGATGACATACGTGTCATCATACAGCTGATGCAGTACCATAATAAGGTAAGATCTACGACATTTAAGTAGGGTATCAAACCGAAACGAATTTCGGTTCGTTTTCCACATAGTGGTAGGTAAAGTATACGAATTGCGATACAGATTTAGGTATTCTTCCAAACTTTTTTACTGTATGCGGATAGGTATTGCTATGGTAATGGTATGGCATAATGGTTCTAAGTTTAAAAAAAAATTGAGATTGTTTAGCAATTCAAAATATTAACATTGGACAAATACCTATATCATATGAAAAATTAAGTGTCAGCATGTGAACTGAGGTCTACAAGGGTGTTCTATATTCGGTGTTGCTAAAATATGCATTCTTTCTTGTTATATCCTGAACCGATTAAAAATAAGGCCTGCGTTGATCTAAGTCTGCATGATATTTGTATATGATATTTATCTTTGATATTTGATATTTCTAGGCGTACTTGCTGAACATACCATCGTGGGACTGGAAACAGGGAGATGATGTCATTTGCCTGGCCGAGTTGAAGTTGGGCTTTATAGCGCAGAGCTGTTTGGCGCCCGGATTTTCCACAATGATGGCCAATTTGTTCGCTATGCGTTCTTTTAAGACGGTAAGTATTGCCAAAGTGTTTAACACGATTGGCTACTCCTAACAATATACCAGACACAAGCACACAACTGGGGCATATTGATATCCAGAAAGCAGGCGTTAAATATTAGCTTTTGATGACAATTGCTATATGTGAAGAAGAAGAAGGGGCAGAAGTGAAGATGATGTGAAGGGGCTGTCCCAAGTCGATTCAACAATATCAACCATAAATCTATATTATGTATGTACGTCTTTAACCCCATAGTCGCCAGAAATGCAATCTTGGACAAATGATTACCTGCGCGGCACTGGCATGGAAATGTACACAGAAACATTGAGTCCCACATTTATTGGAATACCATTTGCTCAGGCCACTGAGTAAGTTGCGCAGCGGGCAGTCCACTTTTCTATATGCTATAAAACATATCGTATCGTATCCTACTATTATAATACCTTACTATTCAACTATGTACTTGTTAATCGTACAGCGTTGACAAATATCGTACAAAAAAACCAACTAAAAACACAAATACACATACAAATGAATACACAGACACATTTTGTTCGTTCTTAACTTCTTGATCAGCTCTAATTGATGTTGTAACTGTTTTTATTTTATCTACGTTGACTTTGAAAGAATTTAACGATTCTGATCTCCAGACACGATTACATCGGTGTCAAAGTATGGAGATATATAAAACATATGTAAATTGCCTGCCTATGGTGTAATATTATGATTTTATTTCGAAAACAAAAATAAAACACTGACCAATATACACACAAATACACAGAAAAACAATCGAAGTACACTGTGAAAAATTAGTCGGTGTTTTATGCTAATTCTTTGTGTACTTAATGTTCTCAATGTTTAAAATGCCTTCAGTGTTTGCAAATACAAAATGACATTCTTGCAGAATATTGTTTTAATTACAACTAAGTTTGCAGCCAGACCGTTCTGTTAACTCTGCATTTCTAGGACACAAAGCCGAATCCAAAATATACACAAACACGACCACACACATGCAAAATACAAACACATACACTGTAAGAATTCGGGATCATTGTAAAACGCTAATTGTAAAGTATCTTTGTGTGCTGTGCTCTTTGAATTCAGAGCTAAACTATGCAGCGTGCATTTAAGTTGATGTGTTTATTATGTTGTTTTTATGGTTTTATCTTCTGTTTGAATTATGCTGATTTAATACAAACTTACTTTTCATTTCTGTTGGAACTCTATAAGTCTCACACTGTTCGTAATATTCCAAGAAGTGCCCGTTGCTATGCCTAAAAAATATTTAATATATATATAGTAAAATGCTGTTTCTATTGCTAGAAAGTATTTTTTAAAAAATGTGTCGAAAGTTTGGAGAAGTATGCCAAAGCTAAAGTTGATGAAAGCCTGAACCACAAATGCAAACCCAGAGCACACATACACACACACACACACACACACTGATACACACAGACCGCTTAGAGATCAGTTGTAAGTGTGCCCGTATGTACATACATGTATGCCACAAGAAAAGAGAAGCCCGTACTTAAGTGCCCCAAATGCCCAGTGTTGAGAAATGCGCACGCTACCGAAAATTTATATATTTCTTATCCAGCCCTGAACCTGATCGATTACAATGCGCAAATGAGCCAATATATGAATAAATCTCAAGACTCACTCAACTCTCCACTTACACAGTGCCAAGCAACAATAACAACCAGAACATGTACAAGAAACAAGAAACAAGAAACAACAACAACCGCCACGTAGTTACATTAGCGAACTTACTAAATCCAAACCACAACAAAACCATTTTCTAACTTTCAGTCACCAGACACACAGGCCTGGCAAAATGATTATCTTCAAGGTACAGGGTGTGAGATGTACACCGAAACTCTATCACCTTCATTTACCGGCATGACATTCCCACAAGCCAGCGAGTAAGACTCCAAAATGAGAAATTAGCGAAACAAAATTTACAAAAAATTAAAAAAAAAATGTTTACAAAATCAAAAAAAAAAAAAAAAATACAAAATAATAATAATAATATTATTAAAGAAACAAATGTATAAAAAATACTTTTGCCTTGTACAATATGTTGATTAAACATTTTATTTGTATAATTTGTTTGAGTTGAATTCTGTTTCGTTTGTTTTATTCCTTCTACTATATACTTAATTGTAACAAACTACTTTTTGTCCCCATTACTACTTAATACTCTACTTACTCGTACTACTTACTTACTTAGTTTCATATCAAGTCTTATGAAAAGATCCATATACAAGTGAAAAGAAATCTGCCAGCAAACATTGATCTCTTCCTCTTGTATGTTTAACATTTAACATTTAACATTTTTATGTATTATTTGGTTTTTGGATTAACAATCGCATTGCATCCGTTCGCATATAAAAAAAATAACCAGCCACAAAGTACAAACAAAGTTTAGAATATACTACTACTTATCTAGACACCGTTCGCTTGCTACCAACTCCGCTCCGATTAGTCCCAGCTCAAGCCCCAAATACTGATTACAAAACAGCATATCGCATATACGGCATACAAACATACCCATTATGTCTAACACATATTTTCTTCGAGTGTATATATCAAACTATGCGTAGAAACCACCAACAAGACAGCTTCTGATGGCGTCTGATTTGATGAATTGTAACCAATCCCAAATTCCCTTTATTGCATGTGCATAATGTATCATTGTTTTTGTGACACCTTTGACCCACCTACACCAACCACCAACCACCCAACACAATCCACCTCCATTACTATTGACTTGTTTGTCGCAATTTTGTTTGTCAACTGCGATTTTTCGTTGTATTTTTGTACGCATTATGAGAAGCATGTGATTGTATTTGTTTTTGTACAGTGTATGCTATCAACGCACATCCACAAAACGCATGTAAAGTTTAAAAAGGTTTAGCTACACGTTGTAGTATAACAATATTTAAATTAGCTTAAGTATACTTAAAATATATGTAAATGTTGCAACACTTTGCGGCCAAAACTCAAATAACACGAATATTCAATTTCTTACTCGGCGTTTAGACTGTGCTTTTCCAAGCTGAAACTGCTGCTGCTTGCAATTGAAATCAAAGGAGCTGAGGAGGGTGTAGATAGCAAAATTTCCATAAATCCGCGTGGCGCTAAGATACAGGCAAATACGCAGGGTTTCTTCATAGCACAAAGCGCCGATGAGGTCAAGCGGTAAATGAAATGCAGTCTCTGTAAAAATGTCTTGTCAAAGTTTTCAATGCTCTTCACTTTGTTCACAGTGCGTGGTTCTATTGCAAGGCTTGCCACGAGGACATCAAGGATGAGACGCTCATCAAGAAGTGCAAATGCAAAAACTGTAAGCAAACTTTTGTACCATTTTACTGACTTGATAAGACAGTACTTCTGTCTACAAATGTATTTGGGTTTCATTTATTTCTATTTACTTCTTGTATTTAATTTTTGTTTTTACATTATTTTTTTATCGAGAGTTACAACGTGAACAGCTAAAGTAAAAAAAAAATTAAATAAAAATATATTTTAAGTACAGCCAACCAAATAGTCTTAAGTTCTTCCATAAGGTACAGGCATTCAATAGATTAAGCAACGCCCAATAATAATCTTTATATACTATATATGTATGGATATGAAGATAAAAAATGATTCCTCCAAACATACACAAACTTATTCATAATTTATCTTTACCAAAAAGAATTTATTATACAACTCTTGCATCACATCCTTAAATAAATTGTGGTGCTCCTGGCCCCTTAAATCACTTTAATTAAAACTTCAAAACAAAAAAACAACAACAACAACATCTAACTTGCTTTTGCGATTCAACATGTGCATATACTTACAAACTTAAGAATGTGTGTATATGGATATGTATGTGTATGTATGATAAAAAATATATATGTGCGTACCTATGACCTGACAACCTGAAACAGTTTTCGAATTAAATGTAATACATAATAATACAAATAAATGTCATAACTTTGTCCCACAGTGACGGTTCAGCCGAGGAGCAAATTTGATGACTTAGGTAAATCTAAATTGTTCAACATAAAGTTTAAACCCAAAAAAAAAACACACACACACTAACAACATTCTACAAAACAAAACACCGAACAATTCCACTGATCCACCCACTGAGTTTTGAAGTTTTTTTCCCCCTATTCCAACATTGTTTACAGTACGCAACTTCCAAATTTGTTTTGTTTGGATGTACGTTATATACAACAAATACTAGTTCTATCTATAATAAATCCAATTGCATATGTTTGCCCTACCATATTTTCTATCGTATTTTTTGATCCTCAATTCTATTTAAACATATTTACACATAATGCGCACCTTTCCTTTTACTTTCAATTATTTTGAAATCAGTTTTTTGTTTTGATAGTGAACTGTGCAATTAGCATTCCGCACTTGAACAGTGCGAAGCCATGATTCGAATTTTCCCAAAACAACTCACTCACAATTACGTATATAATATATTTAATGAACAATCGTCCCGTCCCGTATCTTTGGATATGTGCAGTTAATTTTTGATAACTTTTCTTTATTATATGATATGCGCCTCTACTCGTATATAATCCACCATAATACAATTAAAATACTTACATCGGTGACACATACATACTATATACATTATTACATATATACCATACACATACATACATACATACATACACAAACATACACACACACACACAAGTATATACGTTCTCTGATGGCTTTACATAACGTACCCTTGAACTGTAAATATGTTTGTGCAATATGCAACCCCAGTTTTTGGATTTAAATATTACCAACCAAGTACTGCCACAGAAAATTCAAATCATAACAATTTCTATACTTAATTTGTGACTTCATACTATACTTACTAACTTTGTGTTTTTGTAAAGCGGAAAGAATAGTTTCCTTCTTAATTGTTTTGGTTTTATCTAAAAGCTTTACGCCATATGTGTGGTCCGCTTTGAAATGGCAATTCTGTGAGCAATAAAAATGATATTGACTCGAATCAACTTTTTACAGAATTTATTCATTTTGTGCATGTCAAAATATACACATGCATCTTATCTGTTTTATTTCAATCTATCATTTAAACGATACATCACAAATGCCTTTATAAGATATCAGGAATTCGTCAAAATACATTTTTAATAAGAATTTCAAAGTGCACAATCTTAAAGCTCTGTCTCGCTACGCCTTTCGCTCCCTCCCTATCTTTAATAACTCTCTCGCTCCAATATTTTTTCTATACGTTATATGTGTTGATGAAAATGAAACCAATATATATATAAATATATATACTTACAAGAAGTGCATGGAAATGAGCACAAAAACGAATTTAAAAATTTCTATCACTCTATCACGATTCAATAAATTCGAAACTATATTTTTTTTTGATAAATATTTTTGACTCACCTTTTGCAGCTCTGATTTTTAATTCCGTTACTAATGAAACTTACCTAACTTCAATTATACATACATTCCTATTTACTATTTAGTAGCAATAAGTTATTCAAATGCTGCGTCGTTTTCTACCACCAGTTGAAGCCTATAAATATTTATGTTAAGTTTTAAGTTCCTTATCTTCTTGGCGTGGCACTAACCCCACTTACAAAATATTAAACCCATATATTTATATATATATATATATATTAAATAATAATTGTAAATAAGTACATAAGAGTAGATGTCCCCCCCTAATTAACTAAAAACAAAAAAATGTAAATAATTTTAATGAAGGTTATTCTTACACTTTCTGGATACTACAGCTACTATTTAGCATATCCATAAAGAGCGTTCTCCATCACTGACACAAGTCGTGTAACTGACAATTTTTGTTATGTATTTGTTTTCTATGTAGCATACTTACTATACATAATTATAAATAACTGGATATGCATATTATGTATCCATAATTTAGCTGCAATGTTCTCAAGTAGTTAGTAAGTTTCCAACTTTTGCGTTGCCTGCGGCTGGCTTACAAAATAATGAATTGCAAAAGTGCGCTCTTAACTGGGAAAGGCTGTTTTCACAATTACAGCTGCCAATCTTTATATGTCTAGTGTTAAGTATAGATTACAGTGATCTTAGATTGTGTGTGTGATATATTTGGTCCCGTTACTTGTATATACGAATACTATGAAATCCCTAACCATCTTACAGATGTGGGCATGATTATGATGCAGACGGGGATGGTCAACCAAGGCATCACGTCGGTGATGAATACAATAGAGGGTACGCTTAAAATCTAAAAAAAAAAATACAAAAATATAAAAAAATCAAATACCAAATCCTAATAATAATTACAAGTTGCGGTACCTATATACCTAATTGTATATTATACAAAGCCAAAATGATTTATTTGTTGCTGCTAAAGTGTTTAACCGCCTACCTAACCGTTTTTAAATTCCAAGCACTTTCCAAGTCCTTGACGCTTAAAAATAAATATAAAATATATTTGACATAGTTGCATTTGGATTTGGAGAGTGTACATTGAATTCGGTTTACTGAATTCTAATCCGAAACATGTTTGATAATAAGTAAGCAAATATAAATTTTGAAAAACTAAAAGAAAACTAAAACTAAAATAAAATGTTTAAAAAAAATGCTTGCAGAATTGGTATAAATTGATCATAAATGCAATTATTAATCAGTTTAGTAGAACATAAATATACGTAATTGCTATGTCAGTGTACCTTTTACTTATGCTAAAAGAACCCTGCTGCTAAATGCGAGTTCCTGCATACGTCAACCATAAACCGACCCCTCGCCCTGCTTAACTCGAATGGATAACAATGACAGGCCAAATAAAATGATAAAAGACAGAGTATGTGTAGTTGGGATTATCGAACAATTTAACAGCGATTACAATGATTACAATTTTAAGCAGTGTACTAAATTATGTTTCTGTTGTTCTTCTTCTGTCGATCTATTGTTCGCTCTATCGTATACTCAGTATAAATATTACATTCAATATAGATTACCATTAGTTTGCAACGATTTCTGGTTTGATTCTTCTACGTCGCGCGCATAAAATCATATAAAAAAATATCATAACTAGCTGATATTCTATACATACCTACAATCATGAATTACATACCATATCTTAAATGAAAGTTCAAGTACAACGTGTGGCGTGCGATTTAATTTTATATTTTTGTTAATATATATTTTGTTTTTGTTTAATTAGGTAATATATATAAATAATTATAATTTGTGGTTATATAATTATATATAAAATTATGTTATAAGTTCAATTGCTGATTTGAAAAAAAGAATAAGAAAACCAACTATCATTACCTTACCATCATTTACCTATTCACACAAATCCTATACAATTCTGTTTTCATGAAACAAAACAGTGGCCACCTTCCGGAAAGGCGTCCGAGCCGTACAAATGGTTGGGCGTGCAAGTACGTATAACTTTCTCCCTATTCTCTCTCTCTCTCTCTCTCTCTCTCTCTCTCTCTCTCTATCTATCTTTCTCTATATACATACATATATCTTCTCCATGTCTCTACTCTACTGTAATTCTATTAAGCATACAAAACAAATTAATAAAAAAAAAAGAAAACAAAAATTGTGCAACAACAAACATAAACCCCAATCTGAAACAAAATCACTCAACATACTTATAACATTCAAGTACTTACCAAATTAAAGGGTCCTCTGTTTCCAAAACGCTCACTAACTCACATTTATTTGCTATTGCTGAGACTGTTCAGTCGGACAGTCAATAAATTAACCAGCCCGAGCATTAGAATTTCATAATGGAAGACCCTCAACGAAAACTATCCCAATTCATTTACTCAATACACACAGACGTACTACAAAGCACACTGATTGTTGCACACTCGAAGGAAACTACACACAGCTACACACAACATTTATAATCGTTTCTACTCGTTCGTTCTCGTAATTGTGTACTTTTCATAATACATTTTTATCTTAACTACTTAGTGTGTGTGTGTAGTATATTGTCGATAGATACAAACAAAAAAAGAAGATAATTCCAATTTATTTCTGAATAAATACTTAACTTAACATAAATCAAGATTACCATAATCAATTTAATATGACGTGTTCTCGGATGTATTCCATACTACAATCTTGTTACAATTTTACCATCAAGTCGATATATTCACATTAAATATAATTAATCGTATTTTGTACAAACTTTCTGTGCAGCAGTATACATATCATTTACAAATATAATTATTTTTATTTTCGCCGTTATAATCGTTGACATTGAAGTTTATTTCAAACTCAACCATTCTTTGCAACAAGTCGTGACATTTTCGTATATGCTTTTCGTATTTGTGAAAGCAAAGGTTCGCGTATGAACTAGAACAATACAAATAGCATCTACCTTTTTGGTTATTAAATTTCTGTGAAATATCTATCTCTGTCCATCACATCACATATATGTATACATACAACACTTGAAAACATATTATGTAAAATACAAAAATATTCAAAAAGAAATACATAAATTTCTGATTCTGGGGTTTGCTCTTTTTTATGTAAAACATATCATACTTCTATGTATTTCCCTACTCGTACCTGTACTCGTTCGTACCAACTACTTCTACTTCTACTACTACTACTACAATACTCGTACTATGTATTTAAATGTCTGTGTGTGTGTGTAGAAGACGATGAATACTCGTTGTCAAGTAAGTCAAACTAACTCAAGTAATCATATACTCAAACATTATTAATTTTAAAGCCGCATTTGTATTTGTCATAAACATTTACTAGGATTCACATTTTAGATCTTATCAATTTTCCAATATGTATTTTCTTTAGTGTGCCAGTGCACGTTCTTTAATTTTGTTTTTATTTCTTTATAATTTTTGTGAATTCTTTCTTCATGTAATACTTCAAACTTTTTGGAGTATCAGTTGTGTTGTAACTAGTTTATCGGTTTAAAAAATAAAATCATAAACTAATATTAGACAGAAAAAAATATATTTTGAATTAAAACACATTCTGAGAAAGCAAAGCTATAATTGTATGACAAGTATTACCCACTATCGATCATGATCACCAGCTGCCCTGCCAATCGCCAAATGCACAACATTAACATTTAAGCAGCGAGCTTTAATGAACAAAAAAAATAAATTCCCAAAATTGAGCATTGTGTTAAACAAAGTGATAAATGAAATAAGCAGTTTGTAGTAAAGAGACTCGTAGGTTAAATATTCTGGAAAAGCGTTTATAAGTGGGTGTTAGATTTCTAGTGCATAACTGTTGAACCAAATGCTTATTAAATTCAAAACCACCAACTGATGGAAGAGAAGTTAATGTTAAATACTTGTCAAATACGCTTTCATTGTAGCAAACTAATACCTAAGATTTTAAGTACTATTCACTTATCCAATGTCAATGTGCCTATGCCAGCGCCTGCTTTACTTGCTTTCTAGAGTTGTAGTTTTTTCTGCATACCTTACTTATTGCCTCTTAATTACATGTACTTCATAATTATTTGCATGTTTTCTTATGCCTGAATTACAAATGCACTATATAAATGTAAATAAATATATTTTAGTGAATATCCCAATGAAAATTCCTGATCTCATTTCCCCAGATCATTGTGATCACTTTTCCTTACTTTGGTATGACTTTCGGTTCAACACGATTTTTTTAATTTCTTGGGTTAAATCAAACCTATTTAAAATGTTAATAGCCCATCTAATTTGATTTGAAGATTATGAACTTGCTTTATGTACAATACAACCGCAACTTTTAAAATTTTTGTTCCTACAAACACAATATTCCCACAAAGAAAAAAAAAAAAACCCAAACTTAATGTATCCACCATCAAACCCAAATTATAAGCTTCACATTAAAAAAATTTGTCTTTTACACAAAAAAAAAAAATAAAATAAATAAATAACAATTTGATTACCTAAAGCTGTGCGATAACAATACCAAAAATATCTTACAGATGAACACCATCCTGCACCCACATTTACGCCACCAGAGCTACCCAAGCGGGTGCATGTGCGTGGATCTGTATCGGGTAATGTCTCAATATCAGCTTGTATAAGATCTAAAACCAAAATAGTGCTGCCAACCTACATATGATACGTATAAGTCTGTCCAAAAATAAATAATATAAAACAGTACACAAAAGAGAAAGGTTATTTTGACCACAGTATTTTCTTTGAAAACACACATAAAAAACACGAATATCATTTATTTTATATTTGTATATCATAATTTGCCTTATCATTGTCTTATCATTTGCTCATGTTGTGCCAAAGCTCTGTGCTGAAACTACGCCCAATGCCCAATCAATAAAATGATCAAATTAAAACCAGAACTGAAGTAAATAAAATAAATTAAACAATTTTAATTAGCTATTTATTTTCGTTTGTTTTTGATTTTGCATACAAAATGTTGTTTTTGTGTTAATTTTTGAACAGAAAATTTTGTTATTTGCTAATGTAAAAATGACAACGATTGTTTTCCATAAATGTAAATGTTTATATTCCATAACTATCTAAAGAAACTGCTAACTCTATTGTACCGAAAACTTGTTCTTAACAGTCATATAATATTGATTCGATATTGATGTCTACTTATTTAAAGCATTTTCACTATACATTTTGTAAACATTTGTGTGTGTGTGTGTGTTGTGTTTTGTTTTGCATACATATATTTGCTTGTTAAATACACTGTTTATTTATTGTGTCCACACACACAACTCACAGCTACAAGTTTTCAACTAAAAAATAGCAACAACCTTCAATCAAAAGTAACTAGTAACTTGTTGATTACTTACTACTTACTACACGCGGCTCAAAAATACCTTTCTTGATTAACTTTGACCAATGCATAATATGACTAAAACCCAAAATTTTCCTTAGCACTCTGCCAGCAATATCAAAGAATATAAATCTTACTAATCGAATGTATCTGCTGTACGTTTCTCTCTGTCTCCCTCTCTCTCTCTCTCTCTCTCTCTTTCTCGCCTTCTCACTCTCACACACATACTCCCGCTCTTGCTGTTGTTGTCTACAACTGCTGTTAACTGTTCAATTTAACAATGCAACGCAACGCACTTGCCACAGGTGATATTACACGCGACAGAGAAGATACAAATCGTAAGTTTCATCTATGTACTACTACTTAGCTTATGGTACCCCTGGTACTACAGCCAGTAAGCTGATGGTCAATGACTTTGCCACTCAATCGATGTATATTTTTGTGATTTTCCCTTTGCAGTACTCAATCGGAATGTGCGGCGACCGAATGGTACTGGCAACGGTACAGGTGGCATGCATCACATGAACAACACAGCCGCTGCGGCAGCGGCAGCTGCAGCTGCCGGCAAGCAGGTGAACAAGGTAAAGCCCACGGTTAACGTGAGCCGGCAGGTGGAGGGTCAGGTCATATCGCCATCGCAGTACAACAGGTGAGTGGACGGAATTGAGTCAACTTTAGCACAGTCCGAATTTGTACTCAATGCGGGCGGGTTGGGCGAAGCACGGAACCAACTACACTTATACAAATAATACACAACAGAAGGGCACTCGGCTTCAATTACAAAGTACTTGCATAATATATACCACATACATAGAAAGCAACGCAAAGCAAATTCGGTAATCGAGCAAGAATAACACTTAAGGCCTTCGCTGTTCAGCTGCATTCTATAATTTCCTGGGTTTTTTTCCTCCTACTTTGCAACACTACAAACTACAACAAAACTAAACGTTATACATACTATTTAAGTTCGGTCACCTTATTATTCTTTGTTTTATTCCACACCTAACAAATAACACTCAGTTCGATGGCCCTTGAAAGGTCACGCCTCATACATATGTAAATGCTCTTTAAATATAGATTTATCTCTTAACACCTTAACAAATTGTCTAAACTACACTTTCACAATAACAACAAAAACAAAACAAAAAAAAACAAAAACAAAAAAAGAACAACAAACAAAACAATTTTAACCAGTTAATATGTATAAAAAACGAACAACATTTTGTTTCAGGCCACCAGAAAATGATGCTAACCCTTATGCGGGCTATCAACTTGCTTACGAAGTTAAAAAGCTCATGTATGCGTCCATAATTTCCTAGAAATTTTACTTAAAAAAACAATCTTACAAAAAAGCCAAAAGCGTTTTTAAACTTTTACTACTACTACTACTATAACTTAGTATTCGTAAATTCTTATTCAAAACTATGCGCATTTTGTTAAACACACATTAATTGGTTGATTGAAAGCTATTCCATACATCAATACCAAATACAATTCTTAACTATGCGTATGCGTCATTTTATTCACTTTGCTGTCTGTGTGCGTTTCTTTTATGTATTCGTATTTATATATGTGCGTGTGTGTGTGTGTGTGTGTGTGTGTGTCGTCTGTCAGTGTGTTTGTGCATCAGAAGTTCTTTAACATCCAACTCATCTCTGTACATCTACATACAACTCTTCAATATCAGCTGCTTCATCTTGAACATCAACATTTCAAATTCTGTGTCTCTTTTTGTAAAAAAAAAAACAAATAATCAAAATCGATTTACTTTTTTAATTTGTCAGTGTGTGCGTGCCACTAATCTATAACTATAGCTGTAACTAATAATTGTGTACATTTTAAATCAACGCAATGAATAACTTGTTTCGTGTAATTGTATTTGTACTTAATTGTAAATAACAGTAACTACATCATTGCTGCATTTGAGCTGCTTATATTCTTTAAGTGTGTATGTATGAGTGTAAGTGTGTGTGTATGTATGTGTATATTCTGTGCATCTTATCATACCTATCAATGAATAATTGTAAGAATAAACCCGTGTTAGCCCAGACAAGCGTAATATATTGCCGTGCTCCCATTTCCGAAAACGCACAATTTATCCGTTTTGAAAACGGACTCTTTAGAGCAGCCAAATAGGAAAATTTACGCGCAAATGGAAGCAAGACTGATTAATCCAAGCACTTCCAATGCAAATGATGAGTTCAAGTCAAATTTAAGAATCCCTTTCCAACATAATTTGGACTAACATATTCCAATAATATTTTGCGTACTCTAATAAGATTTGATAGATCGTTTAATATTACTAATGAATATATAATACTCTATACTACCCCGTTTGAAGCACTTGAAGGCTTTGAGGGTTTTTTTTTTATAATAATAAATATTTAAAGTATTTCAGGCTCAGTAAAGTCTACATATAATAAAGCGAATCAGTTCAAGTAATAAATTCTGTCAGTTTAAACTCTGCTGCAATCTTTTTCTCTCTCTCTCTCTCTCTCTCTCTCTCTCTCTCTCTCTCTCTATCTGTCTCTCTCTTTCTCACTCTCTGTCTATTTCTCTAGTTATTAATTCTATTATAAAATTGCATTTCTCTTATTATTTGATTTCGACCGAGCACAAAATAATCGTGTTGTGCTATGTCCACTCCGGCGGGGGCAGCAGTCGCATGTGGTGTGTCCCTCGTGCATGTTTAACACTTTCCACACACTAAATCACTTCACTTTATATACGTATATATAGTACACCCGAGGGCGGCCGCATGTGACCTGACCTGAGTCTGCCGCCATCGCCGGGCAATTCTGAGAGCGTTTTGCGTAGTTGTATTCATATTCGTATGTAATTCGTATTCATTTACTGTACTCGTATTGGCATTTGTGTGTAATTTCGCAACTATTGTTATTAGCACAAGCTCTTCCTCTTCTCTCTATTTACATGCATACACACATACTACTATTATATCTCTCTAGCTATCTATCGTATCAATGACACATTTTTTATAAAACGTTATTAAGCTCCAAGTACTCGTATTCAAGTATTCATTTGATTTGATTTTTTTTTGAACGAAACTCGTACTCGTAGCGTTACGAAGAACACTTTGCATTTGGATGTAGCGTTTATTTTGATTGGTTGATAATAAATGATATGCAACGAAATTATAAATAAGATTCCCAAAATTTGGAAAAAAAAAAATATCTAGGCTAGACAGTTAATACAATTTAACAATTTGCTTGCCTCCAGGCCAACGAGTCGCAGTTCCGGCACAGGCACACAAAATCAAAATGGCGGCGTTTCATTGCCAGCCGGCATAGCGGACGATCAGTCAAAGGATTTTGATTTCGAGAAGACCGAAATGAAATATGATTCGACGGGCATGTTTCACTGGAGTCCGGCGAAGAGCTTAGAAGACTGCATATTGGTAAGTGGATAGATCTCAATAGAAGCTATATTTTTCAGATTACAATTTAGCTTTTATTAATTAATTAAAAATTTGTAATTTATTTGCGTATTGGTTATTACTCTAAAATCAAACTCGAAATTAAATTTTAATTTTTTTAAAAGCAAAAACATATTTAATTAAATATACAGTCGGCCTCCAACAGAAGATTTAAAAAACGGAAAAGTCTCGCATAAATTGGAGCACGCCTGATTATCAATTTTAATTATTTTAAGTGGACGATTTTTATTTATTTCAAAATTAGTAATAATAATTACTTACGATTTCTAGCATTATCCTAAATAAATATAATATTTTTTTATTTTTTTTTTTACAGGATCGCAACCAGGCGGCGATGACTGTATTAAATGGTCACGTGGTCGTTTGCCTGTTCGCCGATCCGGATTCACCACTAATTGGGCTGCGTAATCTGGTGATGCCGTTGCGCGCATCCAATTTTCATTACCACGAGCTCAAGCATGTGGTAATTGTGGGCTCCGTCGACTACATACGACGCGAGTGGAAGATGCTACAGAATCTGCCCAAGATATCGGTGCTCAATGGATCACCGCTGAGTCGTGCCGATCTGCGGGCGGTCAATGTCAATCTGTGTGATATGTGCTGCATATTGTCTGCAAAAGTTCCTAGCAACGATGATCCCACATTGGCCGACAAGGAGGCCATTCTCGCCTCGCTCAACATCAAGGCCATGACCTTTGACGACACGATTGGCGTGCTGAGCCAACGCGGACCGGAGTTCGACAATCTGAGCGCGACCGCTGGCAGCCCCATTGTGTTGCAGCGTCGCGGCTCAGTGTATGGGGCAAATGTGCCCATGATAACAGGTAAACTGCATCGCACTAAGTTGGCCGAGTTTATGAACGACCGAACGCATAGCGACCTACCTCAAGCGGTGTACGTGAGACTGACCAGGCGGGGCGGGTTTGGGTTAAGTGGGGGGAATAATTATAATAATTATTGTGTCCTGATCAGTCTCATATGCCGCATAGATAATGTAAAAGAGGTCTTGTCTTACTAACTGAACACTGTGTGTGTGTTTTATTGTTTGGTTGTCGTTTAAAGAACTGGTCAATGATAGTAACGTGCAGTTTCTCGATCAAGACGACGATGACGATCCAGATACAGAACTGTATCTAACACAGCCGTTCGCCTGCGGTACGGCGTTCGCTGTGAGTGTTTTAGACTCGCTGATGTCAACGGTAAACCCAAGTTCCAAAAAAAAAAATAAAAACAACAGACTCAAATTTAAATTCGCCTTGAAATTCAGAAAATCTAAGAATTTTAGGGCCAATAACAGTCTTCTAAAAACCAAAAACATAATTCTAAATTAGATTTCCAAAAATCACGGTTTGCACTTCATATATCCAAGATAGATTTTTTTGTAAGTTTAAAAAAAAAAACATTCTTAAATTCCAAGTTGTCTTTTGTGGTTTGCATGGTTTGCTTTGCAACATTATCTATGATGCCTCTATGTTAATCAATAGTTAATTTCTAAAAAATCTATATTTTATATACTTACCTAAATTTTGGGAGTGTTTAGGAGTTGGGGCAAGTGTTTCTAATTTTTACCAATTTATATCGTTAGTTTAGGAATTATTTGTAGATACCTGAAAATCTCTTTAGTTTTTAAAGCGATTTTCTAAATTTCAAAGTGAATTTTTTACTGAGTAATTTAATTGAAAGGCGACCACATTACCACTAACTCCCTGAATTTTAGACATACTTCAATCAAAATGCCTTAACACTGATACGATCGCTGATAACAGGCGGCGCCACGCCCGAATTGGAGCTGATACTGGCAGAGGGTGCGGGATTGCGGGGCGGTTACAGCACCGTCGACAGTCTGAGCAATCGCGACAGGTGAACCGACTAAAATGCAGAAATTAATCTCTTATATACTAATTAAGTTGAGTGCTGCACGTTTAGATGCCGCGTGGGGCAAATTTCGTTATACGATGGGCCACTGGCGCAGTTTGGCGAATGTGGCAAGTATGGCGATTTATTTGTGGCCGCACTCAAGTCGTATGGGATGTTGTGCATAGGACTATATCGGTTTAGGGATACCAGTTCTAGCTGTGATGCGAGCAGCAAACGTTATGTAATAACCAACCCACCCGATGACTTCTCATTACTGCCAACAGATCAGGTAAGATTCTTTTAAGACTTCCGTTTAACTTGCGTTTCCAACTCAAATTGAACTCCCCTTCGATCCGTTAGGTATTCGTTTTAATGCAATTTGATCCGGGCTTGGAGTATAAGCCGCCCGCAGTGCGTGCACCTGCCGGTGGACGCGGCACCAACACACAGGGCTCCGGGGTTGGTGGTGGCGGTTCCAACAAGGATGATAACTCTTGATTGTTACTGTGTAGCGCCTTAACTGATGGTCCTTATTCGTACATTTGAACGATGGAGCAGTTAATGGTGTACAGAGCAGCGCATTTATTGCACAGATATTGGCATAAGATCAGGAGACGTATTCAAGCATAGAGATAATCATTAGATAAAGAAGACATTGCATGCCACATTTGTGGCATGAACCAAATCAAAAGATAGGACAATTGGCATTAGTGAGTTTAAAATTGAAATGCGTGCCAATAAATGCGTTACTCTGTACTTTTATGTTTGTGAAGATATCGTACAGAGTACTTCGTCTATCCAGTCAAACAATCAAGGGACAACCATATAAGCCACAAAAACGACCAACGTTGGGCCGGAATTACGCGGCAATGTCAGATATCTCCACAAACACAAAAACCACATATTTATTGAAGAAATAACATCTTCTTTGATATCCATCGTTCAATTGTCAGCTGATTGCTTCCCACACCATTCCGTATGCCTTTTAGAACCTTGAAATTTACATATTATATCTATAATTTTGTATCCATATCTATCAATCTATCTATCCAATATTCTATTACCATTACTTGTATAATTACTGTTAATTTTTCTGTTTTATTTGATATTCGGTTTGAATTGTAATTTTTTTTTTATATATTAATTTTTTTTAATTACCTTAAAATAAATCAAACCAAAAGCAACCCGTTTACAATATTTATTATTTTATTTAATTAGCTTTCAAGCAACAATCATTAGTTATTATACAACACAATGGGTATGTATTATATATTTATCAAACATTTATTGTTTGTTTGATTTCATGATCATTATTGTTACCATTATTAACTTTATTATTGCAATGTTATTTCTGTAATTTATTAATATGTTCGTTTGCATTATGAATTCACTTCATGGCGCTATCATTGCATTACAAATATATATTGAACAATTCGAAATGAAAATTCATCTCAATGGTGTGATGTAAGCAATTGGGAACCATTAGTGAGGTAAGCTACACATTAAACAAAGAAAACCAAATCAACTCTCAGCTCTTAACTGATATCGGAGAATTCACAATGCAAACTAACAACAACATGTGCATATATGAAAATAGAACCAGGAGTATGAATATATTTTTGTGCAAGACAAAATATGTAAACTTAAGGGCTACATTGCTACTGTACTAAAGATACAAATGCTTACATACGTATATATTTAAATATGCAAAGCTATGCAATACACTAACAGCTCTCACTAGATATCTGTAACAACAAGAACAACTACGCTACAATTTATATATACTTACTATGTATAATACATGCCCAAACATAAAAAAAAAAACAAAACAAAAATAAATAAAAAACAGAAATACATATTCGATAAATGCTTGACCGCCATGTACATTTTTCGTATGTGGAAAATGGAAGGCAAACGACAAAAAAGACGAGGAAAACCAAAAGTTGTGTCAGCATTCAAGTTCAAAAACTGCATTTAGATGTTTCTGAGCATGCGCAAAAAACAATTTATATGAACATATTATAATAATTTAACTATAATGTTAGCCGAAACACAAGAAATTCCTAGCGGTAATTAATTACAACAAACAAAAATAAAATATATAAATAAATAAAACAATCTGCAGTCTATGGCAAAATGCCTATACATAATTAATTCAAAATTTTATATAACAAATCTTAAGGCGCAGGCTGAGAAAATAAAAATATTAAAATAAAAACAAAATACTAAAACCAACGGTTGTTTCAACAAAAAAAAAACTTAAAGTATCATCTTTAGCATCAGATATTCATTGGTATGTACATGAATACTTTACAAGCCGAGCGAATGCTAATTATAATCACAACACTATTGAATATTTAAAATGTTTTCAAGCTGAGAATTTCTAGCTTTTGTGCATGTTTGTACTTAGAGCAAATGGTTTAAGATGGTTCAAAATATTCAATTTAAGGCCTTTTCCACATAAGCGCTGCCGCAAATCATACCCAACATTTAAATAGAGTATATATCAAGTGTAAGTAGCGCATTCAAATCATAATTATTCAATAGAAATAAATGCATAATTGTATTCATCGTGGTATGAAAGCAGCTGAAGATATACATACATACATACATACATGATAGATAGATATAACTATATCTATACTGAGCAGTTGACAAAATGTAGCTAGTAATATTTATATAGTGCTGTATGATGTATGCGCTTTTTACGTGCGTGCCTATTGCGATTTACGAGCAGCTGTGGTGTTCTAAACAACATTTTTTTTAGATTAATAAATCGAATGTAGACCGAAAGATGAGTTTTCGTCTTTGGGCCACTGTTTCTCGACTTGTCTCAAACCCTTCTACTGATCTTCTATCTTTCACGCGCTTGGGCTTAAGCCGCTAATGAAACGCTCTCTTTTTGTTTGTATATATCATGTAAATAATTAAGCTACCTATGATTATATAACTCGGATATTGTAAAAAGGTCGTCTAAACACTTTATTCTAAATACTTGCATTCATACAAATTTCTTTTCATATATAGTTTTCGGTACATGTATTTGTTCAAATGATAAACACTGCCAAAGCGTATAGAAATCACATGAAATGTACTTTAACAAGAATCACAAGTTGCAGATAATTGTTTTTGAGTTTGATTTTCATAATTTTAATTATCTAAAGCAACAATATAAACGTGACAGAAAATAGCACATTAGCATATGATTTTGTTATAACTAATTTACAATTTGGCACATAAGTTTAGCTTATAAATAATGACAGTAAATCGAATTCGAGCTTTTAATAATATAACAAAAAAAAAAAAAGAAAAACAGCTTAAGCCTAATTAAGTTGATAAAGATAAAATACAATTAAGATTGGTTTTGGTTCATTGTGTTTTAGTATGAAATGAATGTAGCCTTAAGCTTAGCCAAAACTTAAAACGATAAAACCAAAAAACAAAATTGTGAATATTAAGTATGCGCCTTCAAAGTTATATAAAAGTATGCATGTACGTATGTATTTAGATTAGCGGTGTGAGAAACAATTTAAGCCACAGACAATTGAAAGTGTGTCCCAACACATTAACGAAATGGAAACATGCTTAGATTAAAAAATAAAAACATAAAATATTAAAAAAAAACACACACACACATACACATGAAAAGTTAATATGGAAGCCAGTTCATTTATTGTTAGTGGTATTTAAAAACAAAATGAATATAGATGAAATGAAAAAAGCATTTGCAATCCTTATAAAAGGCGTAGACGAAACCCAAAAGTTAAACATAATTTTTAAATGAATAACATAGTTTTAAAATTTTTAGAAATATAAATACTCACACACACACACACTGACACAAACAAACATACACACACACACACGTATAGATACATGCCATCAGCGAAAACCTAATAACAAGAACAACAACAACAACAAAACGAACTCTCGATGTTGTGAAACTTGATCAAATCATGTTTACGCTAAAGAAAATTATGAAAAGAAAAATCAAATGATATACAAAATGCAAAACGAGTACTATCCACAAAAAGCTTATTAAATATAAATCAAAAACTTCACAAAAAATTGAGCAAAGCTGCGTTAGAGATTTTTTCTATATTCAAAGATTCAATATAATTGCTTCAATTCAAATGAACTGCTTGCTTTCTCTATATTCTCTCCAACGTATGTGCTTTGTTCAAAAACAAAAAAAAAATAATAATAAAAATATATCGCCTAGAAAAACCTAACGCCATACAACTAAACACAACCGCAACGTTTTGTAGAAAATTTCGTGAGTAAAAAATGTAAAAAAAATATCATACCCGTAAATGCTAAGAATTTTACAGTAGTTAGATACTTTGTATAGGAATCAACGTTTGCAGCTAAAAACCACAAATGATAATTGTACAAGTTTGAGCAACAAACAAATGTTATTTTTTAAATGATTGAATACTAAAAACAAAAACGTTATTAAATTTATAAATGCCGGAAAACAAAATTATAATATAATTTCACAGTACTTTCACAATAACTGTCACACATACACATATATGTATGTATATGTATATTTATGTATATCCATATATATGTACATATGCATATATATGCACCTGCACCTGCATACAAATTATTTAAGTATTGTGTGCATTGAAAATGTATAGATAAATAAAAATAAAATGCAAAAAAAAAAAACGAAAACATCAAATAGTCAACATAACGGTAATTGAATTTTTTAGTTTTTACTCGCAATTTATAAAATATATTTACAAGTAAAATTCTGAAAGTTTAACGTAAGTTTCAAATTAAAATGCTGATAAACAAATTATTTATGTGCCCTTAAATAAAACCCAATCGAAAGCAAAGAGAACTCATCTGTATATTTAGTTTTGTTTAAACCCATCGGCTAACTTTTTTGAAACGTACACGAAATTTTAAATTACAAACCTTTTACCCAAAAATTCATATTTTAAACATTTGTCTAAGAATAAAATAAAATAATTAATATAATAAAAGTAAAAAAACAACAGATAACTGTAATTAAATAAAATGGTATAATAATAATAATATTATGTTGTTAATGTTTAAAAAAAACCTTGTTAAAATAATATTTCAAAAATAAAAATACGAATATAAAATTTCAAACACTGTCCGACGACGATAGCTTTTCCTTATTAAAAGTGAAATTTTGAGTTATGACAGCGAATCACAGCGAAACAGAAAACACAAAGTGACAACGAACAGCCCAAAAATTGACCCACATATGGTAGGCCAGCGCCAGAAATTCCATCGACAAATTGGGTTTAGAAATTTGCAGTCACGACTCGCATAAAAATAAACCAAATTGTCAAGCCCACTTGAACATGCAAGTTTCATAAACTGTTTATGTCGCCCTTCATTACGCATTAGTATTGTATAACCAGCGATCTGATTAATTATAAATATCAAAATTGTTGATCAGTGCTGAACCGCACGGTATTTTTATTTATTTGAATTTATTTTATAATCTGACTTCTCTGACTAAACTATTAACTAGAAACTTAATCGAGCAAATAAAAATGCTTAAAATATGTGCTCAAGCTATGAGATACCCTGTGTTTTCAATATTACACAAAATTTATTAGGTTTTCCCTTCCAATCGCTATATATGTTTGCATATCTTACAAATTAATCACACAAATTAGATTTTTAAAGTACACAAATGTATATACCTCTTTCACTCGTTGGATGTATTCTTGGTATAAACAAATTATTTTGTCATTAGCTTACTAATCCATCAAATTGAAATATAACACTTTTGTGCGTTTCAAAAATGAATATTAACTTTTTCGTCAATGAAAAAACGAAAGCAAGAGGGATATGTGTATTCTTTTACTTGTAATTTTGATTAGTTGTGATGCCGTAAATACGTGAGTGACAGTTTACAAACATTTTAACATAACCACTTCTTTACGCAGGTCAATGGCGGCTATAAGTTTAAGTCCCTCGATTGCGAACTACTTAAATCAGAATGGATCGAAGTAAAGGAATGCTACATCAAGGCTATTAGCCGCATGCGAAACGAAATAAAGATAAGGCTTAGAATTAACAAAACGATTTCAGAGGTAGGCGACATTTGGCATTTTCGAATAAGCCAAAAAAAATGTGAATACATGCTTCTTGTTTAGGGCAAGGTTAACTTCAAACTCCTCAAACGGGAACGTGGTGGTTGGCATCCTTTCTTGTATGCAATGACTGTTGATGCATGTGACTTCCTCAAGCATTCTCAGAAGTATTTGATTCCCCGATTAATATATTCATATCTAAAGTCATATACAAATGTCTTGCATCCATGTCCATACGAGGTAAGCTTAACAACACTTAGAAAAATATCACCCAAAAGTTAAAAAAATCTACAATGTTTTCCAGCGAAGGTTAACTCACCTAGTTAAACAGAAAGCAAATTTATAAAAAAATATTCCTAAACACAGGAAGAGCTTTTAAGATTTCAGGATGATGTTAATTTTTGATTCTAAAGTCCAGTGCTATTTTTTTCTGAGTGTATCTTCTAAGCCCAGTTTCTAATATATTTTTGCAGGCTAACACCGATGCGTATCTATCAAATTGGACATTACCTGAACAGAATATAATATCTCGATTTCCAGTTGACTATGGTGAATATGCCCTTCATACGACTTGGTATATCCATAACACAATGATTGGACGAATTAATGGTTCCTTAGAGTATTTTAAAAACTGGTAAAAAGAGGTAAATGGAATTGGAACATAAATATTTCATTAGTAAGAATTAAAAATGACATGAAAGACTTTTTCGAAATTTACCAAAATATGTTTTTGGCTTCAGAGATTTTCGGTTAAATAAAATTTCTTGTATGTTCCCTTGTTTATAAATAAATATTGCGGAATATTCTCGTACTATTTTTACAGACAGTATAGCTTAAGGAAATATTCTTAAGGTAAAATAGTTTTGAAATAATAAACACAATTAAATGGATAACGATTTGGAGCCTCTATAAGTAGCACGCATTTACCAAGTGCATACACATATCTTTATGTAAGTTGCCATTTCACAATAACGCATCATGGCTGGTGCTCCCGGTTGTCGCGGACCACAGAACTAGAAACTTAATCGAGCAAATAAAAATGATTAAAATATATGCTCAAGCTAAGAGATACCCTGTGTTTTCAATATCACACAATATTTATTAGGCTTTCTAAAAATATGATTAAAATATTTTCTGCTTGGAGTTGTGCTTACTTGTGTGTTAAAAGTGTATGTAAGGTTACTCTGCATTCCTACTCCACATTTATTAACTCCTTCAAAGGGTAAATAGAGCACATGAAGTTGTGCCAAATGCACAATAAGTAGCTGGCAGAAGACAATGTATTCGATACCATTAGGTATATATATTCCTGATTAGAATCAACAGCAGTGTTGAAGTAAACATGTCCGTCTCTTGAATACCACTCTACGCGCTCCCGATTTACTTCCATTTATCGATAAACAAGACGTACATGCGAGAATGCATGACTACGAATACTTTTATTGGCAATATTGCATATCATTACAATCGCAAGATATTTTTGCATATCTTACAAATTAAGCACACAATTCCGATTTTTAAAGTACACAAATGTATAAAGTACACAAATGTATATACCCCACTCGTTTGATGTATTCTTGGTGTAAACAAATTATTTTGTCATTAGCTTACTAATCTATCAAATTGAAATATAACACTTTTGTCCGTATCAAAAATGTATTTTAATTTTATGGTCAATGAAAAAACGAAAGCAAGAGGGATATGTTTACTCTTTTACTTGTTATTTTGATTAGTTGTGATGCCGTAAATATGTGAGTGACAGTTTACGAACATTTTAACATAACCGATTCCTGACGCAGGTCAATGGCGGCTATAAGTTTAAGTCCCTCGATTGCGAATTACTTGAATCAGAATGGATCGAAGTAAAGGAATGCTACATCAAGGCCATTAGCCGCATGCGAAATGAAATAAACATAAGGTTTAAACTGAAGAAAAGTGTTACAGAGGTAGGCGACATTTGGCATTATTGAATAAACCAAAAAAAAAAAAGTGAGTACATGCTTCTTGTTTAGGGCAAGGTTAACTTTAAACTCCTCAAACGGGAACGTGGTGGTTGGCATCCTTTCTTGTATGCAATGACTGTTAACGCATGTGACTACCTTGGGAATTCTCAGAAGTATTTGGTTCCCCGACTGATATATACATATCTAAAGTCATATACAAATGTCCTGCATAAATGTCCATACGAGGTAAGCTTATTTACACTCAGAAAAAACAATCTCCCAAAATTCAAGAAAATCAACAATGTTTTCCCGCGAAATTTAACTCATCTAGTTAAACAGAAAGTAATTTTCTAAAATTTCATTCGTGTACGTTAAAAAAATTCGTGGTTAAATTTTTCTACAATTTTGAAAAAAATATGTCTAATTTCCAGGGTGTTTCTTTGATTATATTATTATTAAACATTAATATTTACAGATTGAACATATACATAAAATGATGATTTCATTTTAAAAAAAAACTTTAACATAGCAGTAGGAAGAGATCATTTCATAACTATTTTCTGAATTTCAAAAATGATTTTTTCGAAAAATATCGGCTTGCACTTCTACTTTTTGTAATTATTTTCTATTATTTTTTAAAAAAAAAATTCTTAAAACTAGAAAATGCCTTTCTAAATTTAATAATTTCGTTTTCTTATATTAAGAAATTATTTCTAAACACAGGAAGAACTTTCAAGTTTTCAGGATGATGTTAATTTTTGATTCTAAAATTCAGCGCTATATTTTTTTCTGAGTGTATCTTCTAAGCCCAGTTTCTAATATGTTTTTGCAGGCTAACACCGATGTGTATCTTTTAAATTGGACATTACCTGAAGATAATATAATATCTCGATTTCCAGTTGACTATGGTGAATATGCCCTTCATACGACTTGGTATACCCATAACACAATGATTGGACGAATTAATGGTTCCTTAGAGTATTTTAAAAACTGGTAAAAGGAGATAAATGGTATTGGAACATAAATATTTCATCAGTAAGAATTAAAAATGACACAAAATACTTTTTCGAAATTTACCACAACATATATTTTGCTTCAGAGATTTTCGATTAAATAAATTTTCTTGTATGTTCCCAAGTGTATAAACAAATATTTTTGAATATTTTCGTACTATCTTTATACAAATTATAGCTTATGGAATTATTTTTAGTGTAAAATACACACAATAAAATGGAAAACGATTTGGAGTCACTGTAAGTGGCACGCATTTACCAAGTACATACACATATCTTTATGTAAGTTGCCATTTCACAATAACGCATCATGGCTGGTGCTCCTGGTTGTCGCGAGAAGAGTCCATTTGGTGGTCATGTGCGCCTGGTTGGCATTGCTTTTTAAGGTATTGAAGAGCGAGTATTAGCAAGACAAGTTCGTTGCCCAAGTCTTTTGTTTGCCTCCCAGTCCGAAAACTGGCCAAGAACTGGGCAAAACACTTTCGTTTCAGCTGTATGTGAGAGATTAAGACTGCCAAGTGCGTTCGCCGGCATTTCGTGTTGTGGTCGCGTGCTGAACAAGTTTAATTTTTTTTTCTTATACCCCGAACCCATTAGAAGTGGGTAAAAAGGGTATAATGGTTTTGTGAGAAAGTATGTAACAGGCAGAATGAAGTATCTCCGACCTGTCGACAAACATACATATGCATATATATAAGATGATGTCGTAAAAAGATGATTTCAGTTCGGGCTTATAAATAAAATAATTTTTTTTAAATTCAGAAATGAGAGTTCTCCCAAAGGTTATTCAAGGGAAATCTGGCAATAAAACAGCTGGCTTCAGGGTATCCCGTAGTCGACACTCACCCGACTTCAGCGTGCTCGCTGCGATCGGGCAGCGCAGACGAAGCCGTCGAAGTCGTCGAAAGAAAAGCCGACCGCTTTCTTTGCAGCTCTGTTCGCTTCCAGTGAGCGATGGATGGATGACACTTACGTGTGCTTCCAGTGGCTGGCAAAAGTAGCAAGCAGCCAAGTTGGCCACTTTAGATGCGCTCAGTTGTTGGCGCGACCTGAACAGGTGCAGACTTGTCGAATTGCAAGCTCCGGTTAACATTTTCAATTCTCGTTTTCGTATTAAAGGAAAGCGCCGCGGCGCACGTGGACATGAAGTTAATTGATGTGATTATCTACTTAATTGCTATTTTGATCTTCATCTACTTGCTGCTGGAATAAGCAACAGCACGTCTAATCGCGAAAGTCACTCAACTCTGGCTCAAGGCTTTCTTCCAAACTTAACAATCGACAAACTTCTATTCAACAAAATCGCACAATTATGAAGGTAAGTAAATTACACGCTGAGTTTATTGGCCATCCATCATTATTATCGATGGGAAATAACATGCTGTGAATAACATGCAAATTTGCAAATTTCTTTTGCCAACTTCACATGAGTTTCATCACTCGACATTCACCTTCTTATTTATTATTAATTTCAATGTACAAAGACAATGCCGCCGCTCCCCATTCATCTTCATTTTCAATTGAATTGCAATTGAAATCACAACTTTTGTTTTGAATACTTGTTAAATTGCGATTGGCGGGCAATTTTGCGCACTTTCATTTGCGATTCCAATTGTAACAGTAATGGTAATGGTAACGGTAGCAATTGCAATGAGAGCACTTGATGCGCCAAGTTTTCCCTGTCGACAACAACAATAACAGCAACAACAACAACCGCAACAGCAACAGCAACAGCAATGTATCGTTCGCTTTATTCGCACCAATTGCACTTAAGCGTAGTCTCAGTCACAGCCATTGGCATTGAGTTTGCCTCAATGTGCAACATTGTGTGGCGGGAAGACGACTCCAAATAATAAATACAAGAAAGAGTGAACTCGACTACGAGTTACCCTGAACCGGAAGCTGTTGAATATATTCTGGATTTAATTTTCCCAAATTTCCCTTTAGTTAACACACTCAAATAAATGAAATGATCAGAAATGATCAAGGTATATTGTAATTCAATTGGAAGACATGTTAGCTTATTTTGCTATCGCAAATCGACAATCAATTAAATTAACTTAATATGCGTGTGATATATGGAATCGTATATTTCAATATATTCAATCTAGTCTCTGAGATCAGCGTCTTCATACAGAAGGACATGGCTAGCTTGATTTGTCTCTTGATACTGATCAAGAATAGATAAACCTTATGGGATCGATGATGATTGCTGCTGCTTGTTACATGCTTTTGCACAAAATCATTATACCCATTCTAACTATTTTTAATGGGTAATAAATAAGATGCGATTGCTACGAATGCAGTTGAATTGAGTTGCTTTACAGGTTTGGACAAATTGGCATTGCAAATTGGGTTAACGGGTAATTGTTAATGGCTTTGTCTGATCTGCTATAATGCGATTTGAAGCACAGTCAAATCCTTCTGTTCGGTTCATTGGCCGCTTTATGCATACTCTGACTTTCATCAAACTAGCTGCTATTAACTCCTGTCAGCAAGTTCATTCACCACTGGCCATGATGTCGCCTATTATTATTATGCATATTTTAAACGGGGCGACAAAGCACTTTGAATAACTTCGCTAACTAACTGACCACTTCATAGAGACGAAGCCAGCAATTTGGTTTCAATTACAGCTGTAATTTCGATTAAGCAAACGCAGCACGTAATCTATAACCACAGTGCACCGTGGAGACACACAGCGGACATTGGTTGTCTGTCAATTTCACCTGTGAGCAGTGCGCTTGATTGACTGCCGGACTGGCGGACTGCCGGGCTGACGGATTGCTTGACTAACGGTACAGCATTGTCAATGCCAGACAAGTGAAACTTGTTGTTGTAACCATAACAATTACGCTGCCAAATTGTTGACTTCCAGTTCAAATAAAAAATACGGCAAAGCCAGCGAGCCCAAACAGAACCCGAATCGATTAAACATTTCACTTTCATTCTGCAACATTGTTGCATGCCGCACACATTAAATGAGTCGCATCAAATGACCGTCTCAACATGCACTTGCATATATATATATATATATATATATATATATATATATATATATATTTATAAACATTGTTTGCTTAAGCAGCTTTTGATTTTACTAGCCAAACGCAGGCGACGTGATAAAATTTTAGAAAACCGCCAATTTGTATAAATTAAGGCCATTATTTTCGGTTCTGCGACATTACACGTTACAGCCCCACACACCCCCTCATCAGCTGCCCCTACTTCGTCTGTCAGCTAAGAGCGCTTAGAAAGTTTTATTCGTTTATTACACGTAAAATAATTACATTTCATTTCATGAATTTACGTGTTAAATTTTTGTGTTTTATTTTTCTTGACATTTTCACCGTTTTAGCCTTTAATACTCATTACGTTCGTTTTGGGCCTGGCCAGCTGTGAGCTGCCCGCCGGCAAGCGTCCGCTGATCTTCAGCGGCAGCAATTGGCCGCCCAAGAGTGCCAAGCAATTGGCTCCGGCACCGGGTGGCAAGCAGCGCACCTTGGTCGTCCAGATACGCAGCGATCAGCCGGTTCCGTTGGTATTGAAGGGTCGCCACGGCTCCCATACGCACGCCCATCAGCATCTGGCAGCGCATCCTCATTCTCTTGGACACGGACATGGACACGCCCATCTGCACTCTCATGCGCATCAGCTCTCCCACGCGCACGCCCATGCCCATGGACACGCCCACTCGCATCTGTTGCACGCGGCTTTGCCGCAACATTTGCGTGGCTCCCGTCCGCTTAAGCTCAGTGCTCCAGTGTATCTGAAACCCGCCGGAAGCATACGCAAACCGCTCAAGATCAAGCTGGGTAACTCCAAGCCGTACGTGAAGCCCACGTTTGGCTATGAGAAGCCCTTCAAGTATGAGAAGCCCACGGCGATTGCCTACAGTGAACTGCAGAATTTGCCGGTAAGTAAATTCAAAGGAATCGACACAAACTATTGCTATAAAATGTAGAAAATCGCTATACCCAATATACACTCGAAAGATTAGTCTCCTAAAAACTAGTACGTTTCTTTCTGAATCAAGCGTTGATTTTTTCTTACTCCGAGTGTATTTGATACGTTTATTCTTAAATTAGAATTCTTAAATTTATATATTTAAATACATTTTTTTCGACTTAAAATATTTAAAATGGTTTATAGATATGAATAATTTAATTAACTACGATTCGAACTCTTTGATAAGTTTATTTGCTTAGTTCGAAATAAATTAATTTAGTAAATAGTAATAGTTCAAATTTTGATAATTTTGGGAACTACGCAGCTCAACTTGTTGTTCAGAAAGTATTTGCTTTAAAATTTTATGTTTTCCTAAAAGAAAAACTGGGCTTTCTTCCGGGTATACACAGAATTTTTAAATTAGTAAATTTTTCGTGTACGTCTATATTTTTTGCGACTTAATATTGTTTCTTAATTGTTTATAATTTAATTTGCAAAAGTATACGATTTAATTGCAATTTGAATTGGTGAAATTTGTTAAGTAAATTCGGAATTTATTTCCAGAGCCAGGTAATATCAGCGATTATTATTTTAGGGCTATTTTAAAAATGTAATTTAATCTAAGTTGGATTTCATTTTATTCTGACTGTACGTATTTGTATCTCATATATGTTGGTTACACTTGCTGTATTTGGCTTCAACACACACACACAAACCGACACACACACACACACAGCTGGACACACACAACAATTTCAATACCGAGCACTTTGCACCAATTTACACGGTACCCGCACCAAATCTGGCCTTGCACAACGACAATCAGCTGGACAGTGGGTTAGACACCGCCTACCTGTCTCCCCGCCCCGCACAGAGCACACCCCGCCCACAGGCACCACACCCGTACTACAGCGTACACGAGGATGAGACAAATGATCAAACGATACGCGATCCCATTTCGGGCTCGCAGAAATTCTTTGCTCCAGATCCGGATCCATCGTTGCCCACGAGCAAGGTGAAGATCGCCACGGAGAGCTTCAACACGCCCAGCAACAGCAAACCGCTGCCCACGGACGTCCAGAGCAATCATCTGCCCGCCCAGCCACTGGTGCAGATTGTGGGCGCCCAAACAGCTGCCCAAGCCGTGCCCATCTATCCGATCCAGTTTACCCAGCAGACGACACAACCCTTCATAGCCGCCGCCCTGCCCGCCTCCCACATACCCATCTATAATCCCACCTATCTGGTCACCCAGTCCAATCAGCTCTATAGCCAGCACAAGCAGCAACTGTTCAAGCCCAGCACGGAGCATGTGATTGAAACCGGCTACGTGAACGCAGATCTGACCCAAGAGGTGGCCAGCAACGGGCAAATTCTGCAGGCAGCCAAGGATCCCCATCATAATATCCACCCAGTGTTAGATACAGCGCCCCAATATGCAGCACTAATTGCAGCACCAGCACTGGGAGAGCCAACAGAAGCTGTCTATGACACGGCACCCTTCCATTTGCCGAATGTTGGCGCTGCAGCGGCGGCTGCCACAGCGCCCGAGGGTGGCTTTGTGGTGTCCAACTTCTATGGAAATGCGCACGATTCCTCGCAGCTGCTGCAGGCGTATGCGGAGGAGGAGGCACGACGCCAGCAGCTGGAAACTGAACATGCTGCGCTGGAGCTGCACAAGCAGCAGCAACAGCTGCAACAGCAGCAACATCTGCAGGAACAGCTGCAGCAGCAACAAAGTCTGCAAGAGCAGCTGCAACAGCAACAGCAGCAGCAGTTGCACTTGGAACAGCAGCAGCAGTTGCACTTGGAACAGCTGCACGCACAGGCACATGCCCAACTGCAGCAGCAACAGCAGCAGCAATATCAACAGGAGCTGCAGCAGCAGCAATATCAACAAGACCTGGAGCAGCAGCAGCAGCAATATCAACTGGAGGAGTTGAAGGCCCAGGCACAGGAGCAACACTTGCAGCAACAGCAGCAGCAGCAACAACTACAGCTGCACCAGTTGCAGCAGCAGCAACAGCAACAACAGCAGCAACAGCAGACGCCACGTCATCCAGCTGATCCGGCGGCGGCTGCCTTTGAGGAGCATCAGCGTCTGGTGCAGCAGCAGCTGGGCAGCAATACGCCTTTGCGCATCTTCGTACCAGATGAGGACACATCCGAAACGGTAAGATTTTTATTATTATACTCACATATTGATAATTTAAGTAATCACATTTCTTATTACGCTAGCAGCGTCTGCAGAAGCGTTCAGACAATCTAACGAAACCCACTTTTGAGGATGATACCACGGTGGCAGCTAGCGATGCCAACAAGGATTTATTTCCCGTCTCAACTTCCGTTGAAGTGACTGGCGGGCCGACTGACGTCAGCAGTAAATAGGTATTTGAATTTTGTTATGACGTAGTCGTTAGCGTTCTTCCAAAATATTTATGTTACAAAACTCATGTGTAAACGCAAATATATAGAAAGCAGTCGATAGTGTAATTAATAAATGTATTGATATTAAAAAATAAAAAAACCAGCGTTTTAAATGTCACGATATATGATGGGTCACACTGCCACATATCGATACTTGTGGCATGTGCGCCAGCAGACTGGCAGCACTGCTGGCAAAAGGAAAGTATAATCAATGTGCAAGCAGAAACACGAAGTAATAAAATACAAACATAATTTGCAGTTAAAAGGGTTAGTCGCGCGATATGTTTGCCGTCTTTCTAACTAACTAACTGTTACAAAACTCATATGTATGCGAATACAAATAGCATGCAGTTTAAAACAGCGCGCGTATTTATAAGCCCCGATGGTTCACACTGAAATATATCGCTATTAGTAACATGTGCGCACTTTCAATCGATAGTTGACAAGCGATAGTTTAGTCACGTTGGCAGTACTGCTGTCAAAAAGAAGTAAAATAAATGTGCAGAAGACGCTAAATAAAATAGACGCTTAACTGGCAGCTAAATTATGATTATACCAATTCGTTGCTTTACCTGTGGCAAAGTGATTGGCAACAAATGGGAATCCTACCTGGGCCTGCTGCAGGCCGAGTACACGGAGGGGTAAGCCAAAAGGCGGAGTTTTCTCGCCGATCAACCCAAAACAACAATAAATAACCCACAAAAATATAAACGTTTTTAGTGATGCTTTGGATGCGTTGGGGCTGAAGCGTTATTGTTGCCGCCGCATGCTGCTGGGACACGTGGATCTCATCGAGAAGCTGCTGAATTACGCGCCACTAGAGAAATGAAGCTAAATTTTGAAATACAAACTTTTAATTTTATTGTAAACTCAAAGAAGAAAAAATAAGAAAACAACAAAAAAAAAGAAATGAAAACCAATCCTTGGCAACTTTACATTTTGTCCATGAACCAGGGTTGCCCGTTGTTCTCACGGCGCTTCGTGAGGATCTCACAACCATTGTTGGTGACGAGCAGCGTTTGCTCAAATTGGGCCGACAAAAGGCCATCGGCAGTGACAGCAGTCCAATCATCTGGCCAGGATTCCGCCTTCTGCACTCCCTCCGAGATCATGGGCTCGATGGTGAAGCAGTGTCCGGCAGCCATGACGCCAACGGCCGAATTCTCTATGGGATCGGATGAATGAATTTGTATATTACTAGTTGAATCTTGTGTGTAATTTGAGTTGGAGACTCACTGGCATAGTGGGGCACATTGGGAACGGTGTGAAAGACGCGATGAATACCATGTCCACAATAGCTACGGACGACACTGAATCCATGGGGCGCCACATACTTTTGGATGACGTTGCCAATCTCACGATACTTGACACCCGGACGCACTAGCTCAATGGCCTTGGCCAATGATTCGTAGGTGATGCGCACCAGTTTCTTGTGCTTTTCGGCGACTTCGCCGACGAAGAAAGTCTCGTTGAGATCACCGTGAAAGCCACGATGATAGACAGTCACATCGATGTTGCAGATGTCGCCATTCGCCAAGGGACGCTGATCGGGTATGCCGTGGCAAATCACCTCGTTGACGCTCGTGCAGCACGACTTGGGGAAGTTGTAGTAGTTGAGGGGCGACGGATAACAATCCCGCTCAATTGCCGCCTCATGGACGAGTCGATCCAATTCATCCGTCGTCACGCCCACCTCAATGCCCTTGGCACCCTCATCCAGACACTCGCGTCCCAGTCGACCAGCCACACGCATTGCCTCGATCTCCTCGTCGTCGAGCACCTTAATCTTCGTGCCACGAAGTGCCTCCTCCGAGAGGGACCTGCCCGCCGGATGATCGGCATAATCTGGTCGGCCAATGGATTCGGGCACAGCTCGCTTGGGCGTCTGTGGAAAGGGACGCAGTTTGCCCGTGAAACGGAAATGCGGCCACGGATTGTAGACGCCATCATTGACCGCAGGCTTCTCGCCACCAGCTGCAAAGAGTTATCCACATTTTATATAAAAAAAATGATTTATTACGATGATTTACCAGCCAAGGCATGGATGACTTTATGCTCCTTCCAGAATCCCTTGAAGCATTCCTGTGAGCAGAAGAAGGAGCCCTTGATACCCAGCTTGAGGCACGTTGGACATTGCAACGTTGCCTCTTTGTTGCAGTTCGTAGTTTCACAATTTTGCGTCATCTTAGTGCCTGCAAAATTTTTGTGCTTAGAAAATGTTTTACTCCGAAGGCAACTAGTTCGAAGCAACGCCGTCAATAAATTTATATTGTTTGACTACAAAATGTTATCGATATTTTCTAGCCGTTAACACAAAATTGATAACACATGCGATGTATTTTTTTTCAAAATCAAAACTTTTAACGGATTTATTCATTGGGCAAAATAATTTAATTTTTTTTTTTAAATATAAATTGACAATCTATTTTTTACTATTTAGTGCGAGTAGCCTTTGTTCATGTTCAATGTATATATTATATGTATTTATAATATGATAAAGTCAATCTGCATTTTCTTTTATATGAATGAAACTATGTATATAAAATAAAATGTTGGACAAATCTTAAAAATATATTATTTCTTAAAATTTGCAGCAATATAAACCACCGTCACACGAAATATTTTAAAGATTTCTTTATTAAGTACGTTTTTTTTTAGCTTATGAAAAAGTTTTTAGAAGTGGAAGACTCTGTGAAACATAATGATTTCCATACAGAAAGTGTAAGTGGTGTTGTTATTTGTTCTGTTTTTGGCACTATTCCCCTAAAATTAAAAGAAAATATATATGTTGATAAGCATAACAAGAACATTACTATCTTTAACGTTTAGGGAAAATATTTAGCATAAAATTGTTAATCACCATTTGAAAAAATTGTGAAACTTATTGTTTATTTTTTATGTTTTTTTTTTTTTAAATAAGTAATAGTGTTAACTAATATAGTGATATTTTCTCACAAACATTTTTTTATATTCTTACTGGATAGTTTTTTAAATTATGTAATATTTAATTTAATAGTTTTTTTTAATTGTGGTAATATTTAACAAAATGTTGTTTAATACCCTAAAATTTGAAATTATTATTATTTTTTTTTATTTTAAGCATATATATTTGAAAAATATGTGCTAAATCGGATCTGAAAGGCGAATGGCCATATGAAATTATAATGTACTTCTTTCAGTTATTTAGCTCGTAATAAACTATTTGCAATCATAATTGGCTTAATAAACGAAAATAATTCTTAAGATAATTCACAGATACACGTACACTGTGGTAAATATGAACAATAATTGTCGAGCACTCTCTTGTTTGTATTGTTTATTTGTTTATATTTAAATATACCTAATTTCATAATAGATCTCTGTTACATATAATCTATAATTTAAATCGCAAACAATTTCATCTGACACATTCAAGGAGCTAATTATAGCGAAAGATTCTACAACTTAATTGTGATAAAGAATTGATAAACAACAAATATTACACAAACACATTACAACATGTAAACAACACAATATTCCAAAACAAGCTGAATTGATGTGGATTCAAAAATGAAACGGATTTTGAGCGACGGCAGCTGTTCTCAGCGCATGCCCTGTGCATTCTGTGCATGGGTGAGTGTCTGCGTGTGTGTGCGTGTCTGGGGCATCGTTTGCTCTGTTTATGTTTGAATCTCTCAAAGCGCGAGAATCTGTCGTCGTGAACGGACGTGTCTTTGATTGTTGCGGCGAAATCCGAAAACCAAAAAAAAAAACGTATCCGAAGAATATTACCAATAAACTCGTTTGATCGCGAACCAAATACAAAAAAAAAAAAAAACGAAATAAGGGCCAAAAAGGATACCTTTGGCACTCAAGTGTATGTTTTCCAAACGTGAATAAAAATAAAAAAAATAAAATTTAACATGCCATACTAAATAATATAATCTGTAGCATCCTCTTCTGAGGCAGCCACAGGTGAAACATAAAATAAAATTCTTATTTTTCAATTGACATCAAACAAATTTTTGGCAATAGCAAACACAAAAATGTTGGGATATAATTAATATGTATTATGTATCTGTAGGTGTGTGTGTGAGTGTGTGTGTTGTTGCCATACAGATCGGTCCGTCAGTCGTTCTGTGAATTGATCAGTTTGTCGCGATCTTTGCACTCGCCGTTCGATCATTCTATGCTCTCTTTTTCTTTCTCCTTATCAGTTGATGCTGCTATTGTTATTGTTGCTTCACTTTCTGGGCAAACGCAAACAAGAAATAAGTGAACAACACTGTTGCTGTTGTTGTGGTGTTGTAGTGCTATTGTTGTGCTGTTGTTGTTGCTGTTATTGTGCTGTTGTTGCTACTACTGCTACTGCTGCTGCTGCTACTGCTGCTGCTATAAATAACAGTCGGCACGCGGCTGCCTCGTCTCCGTGTGCACTGTACGCTATATCCCTCCTGCCCCATCACTTTACTAACCCCCCACCCACTCACTCACTCGTATCAACAGCATCGTCATTTTACGCTGTGGGTGTTTTGCGCTTTACGCTTTGAATTATCCCACTAACTGACTGGATGACCGATTGACTGACTGATTGACTTGTCGCGTTGTCCATTTTCCGTTTTCACACACAAACACACACACACACAGAAGCAAGCGAAACGCAAATCGTCAATTGTCAATGGTCGTCATTCTAAAGGCCGCCTGCGTAATTAAAATATAATCTGCCTCTCTGCCGCTGCTTCTGCCTCTGTCTCTCTCCCTCTCTCTCTCTCTTTCTCTATCTGTCGCTTGCTCGCTCGCTCTCTTTCAGCGTGTTTACTTCTGCTTCTGTGCACATTCAAATTTACACACACACAAGCAAACATACATATGTGTTTTTTATGTATATTGTGTGTTTTTTTGTTCAGGCTATTGCAATACGGAACAACGTCAAAAGTCAAGGTACCACAGTCGACGCCAGCAGCAGCTGAGGCAGCGACAGCAACGAACTTGCACTGCTTTTGATGCTGCTGCTACTGATTCTGCTTTGAACTCGATCGCAGACAAAGATTGAACGAATAAGGATCGCGCACATTGTTCTTCTTTTTTGTTGCTCTTGTTTATTGTTGCTGTTGTTGTTCGACTGCATTTTTTTTTTGGCCAAACGATCGTTGCTGTTTGTTTGCCCAGCGGCGGCAATTAAAGGTAAAAACACAGAAACATAAACGCCGCCAGGCGAACGCGTATTAGACTTAATTGGCTCTGGTCTCCAGCTTTTTCTCATCTTCTCGCTATTGCTCCTCGTCTGCTTATTCTTCTTCTTGCTGCTCCTTTGCTCAGAATGTACATACACTCAGAAAAAAATCAATCGCTTACATTTCTATATTTCACGGTGAATTTTTCTCAAATTTAAAAAAAAATTTATAGAGATTCATTGAATGAAGAATTCTTATAGCAGCTTTTTTGATCCTGGACTAAACTTTTTATCGATATATTTAGAAATTATTTCTAAAAAACCTTATATTTTTTTAAGGAGATTATCATTTAAGGACGATTTAGTAAAACCAAAGGCGATTTTTTCTGAGTGTACTCATATGCTCATATATGTATATGTGCGTATGAATATATATGTGTGTGGCACGCATTTGGCTGACTTTGTTCTCTTTTGCCTGATGCTTTTGTCAGTTAGATGAAAATTTATGCGTAGCAGCAAAAAATCGAAAAAAATGAAATACCACGAATATATGTATGAAATTCAAAGTGTAGTTTCCGCTGCCGCCTTTTCCAGCGCTTCAACACTTCCGCTTTGCCCGAAAATCAACTTCCGCTGGCAAACAATTCACAGCATGAGTTGGGGGAATGAATGGGTGGGCGGCTGTAGATGACACTGTCGACGCTGGCTGCTGCTGCTGCTGCTGCTACTGCCTTTTTGTGGCAAACGCAGCTCTAGAGACGCATATTGATATTGTTGCCAGGTTTCTTACGCTTGACTGCACTCACTCACACACAGACATAAACAGACCCACACACACACATACATATATACCCACACATAGACACACACAATCATACAAGATTTAAGCTGCTGCAAACGCATTTCACTTTTGCTTCACTGGTCCTGGTCCTCTTTGAGTTCCCTTGCCCTTTGGTCCCGGTACACAATTTGTGGCATCTTCGCCAGCTTATTGCCAACCGACGCCATTAAGCGTTTCATGTTTCATACCTCACGCCTGCCCCTCTTCCTCCTCCCTCCACCCTCCCCCCACACCAAGCAGCAGCAACAACCAGCAACATTAAAAAATAGCTCGCGTATGCAATTCTGAACAACACTTGGGGGTTCTGCGACATTTTATTTCATTTCATTTCACTTAATATTTCTGCCAACTACGCTTTTGAATAAGGCATACATTTTACCGTCTTTCGCTTCTAATCGCTGCTCCTCTACTTCTGTGTATTTTTCATTATTTTTTGCGCCTTCCACGCACTTCTACTTCAGCCGCGCGTGCCTAATATATATATATATATGTATATATATATTTTTTGTCATTTGCTATCGCTGCAAAAGTACCAAAAATTAAAAACAAATTATGTGCCGCAGGTGATGGCGGGACCAGATAGCTGATTTGTGTCTGTTTGCGGCCCTAATCCATGGCATCCACGAGTATCTCGTAGTTGCCTGGTCACCGAAGTACCGATATCGTCTGTACACTCTGAGAATGAAAATAGATTTGCATTTTAAAAAGTCAGCACGCAAAATACTGGTAACTCATCTTATTCTTCAGAAATTATATTTCTAAATCGGAAGGTTGTGTCTTAGTAAAAACTAGTGTTTTTCTTATCTTAATTCCAGGGTAACATTATTTAAAATGTAGAAGGAATATGCCAAGTTTGCAAGTTATTATTATTTATATATTAGATTTTTTGTTACTTATAATATTATTATACTAAAGTATTTCAAGATTTCACAAATACAAACATTTTAGATAATTAATTAATTCATATGAAAATTAATGTTGAAATACAATCTCATGGCGATTTTAACTCGCAACAATATCTAAAGATCCAATTTCATTAATATTTTCTACATTTGAGAAAGGTATTTTATAAAAAATGTTTACATTTCTACTTTTTGAAAATATTTTCCAGAAATATATTTTGGAAAAACATAAACGAAGCCTCTATAAATATAATACATATTCTTTAGTGTATTTAGAAATTATTTCTAAAAACAAGAATATTCTTCTAGTTTTCAACGCGCTTTTCAGTTTGCTCCGACTTTTTTCCGAGTGTATCTGAAAGACATATTCAAAGCAAACGATTTGAGTTATTTTATGAATATTTGTATAGGTTCCTCAATCTGCTGAGTGGAGGCGCGTGTAAGCGCTGAATGCGTGTCAGCGCACAGCTGACGGAACATAATGCAGACGGGGCCAACCCCTGGCAACCCCTCTTTGCCCCTCCCCCTTCCCATCCTCTGATATGCGTGAACTTATTTGCCTTCGTATTTCAGTTCGTCTTCTGAACTGCTCTGCAGTCCTCGTCTGCTTGACATAAATATTCTGTTATCGTTTATGTTGTTGTTGTCCTTATAAAGCAAAGTTAATGATATGTCGCAAGTGGGTGTGCTTGAGTGACTGTATGTGTGTGTGTGTGTGTGTGTGTGTGTGTATGTCTGCGTATGTGGGTGAGGGCACAAGCGCACTTCTGCATGTCCATGTTCAGCTCCAGGCAACAATTTTTCTTTTTTCAGCATCATGTGTAATTAATTGGAATCTAAGAACATTTAATTTTTTTTTTGCTTTGCTTTGCTTTGCTTTTGCGCACCTTACCCTGGTGCCCACAAATTTCATTTCTATATTATTTATTATACTATTCTGTTTAACTCACTGGCTCCCCTTCCAAAAATGAGATATTCTCCTAACGTATTTAGATACGTTATTATTTAAATTCTCAAACAAAAACTTACTTTTGTTTATAAAAGAAGTTCTTAAGGATTTAAAAAACACAGGCATCTTCTCTTTATATAAAAAAGGAAAAACACACATACATTTTCTTTTGAATTGCCACAAGACCTTGTAATAATTTTTAAATGAAAACCTCAGCTATTTTAAATAGATTTACAAATGATTTTTTTTAATTGGATGTGCTATTGAACTTGCGTCGAAATAGATTTGATAAATAAGCAAGGAGTCGATTTAAATAAAACATTTAGGTAGTAGATTTTGATAAAAACCACTTTAAATAATATTTTTTATTCTGATGAATCTTGAATTTGCTTATACAAGTTGGGTTTTCTAAAAAAAATTAAGGACTAGGTTCTTCTAAGCAATGTTTGTTGATTGAATGTGATGGTCTTCTTTTTGTTTGACGTGAATATAATTTTTAAGAATTCATTGAAATTGGTAGGAGTTGATTTGAAATAAAATGTGTTTGTTCTTTTTCTGGAAAAACCTTGAATTTTCTTTTTAAACTTGGTGGTCTTCAATCCGTTCTTCAGACCGTTTCAACCTTATTTGTGCCGTCACTTGCACATGCTTGCTGATTACATGAAAAAAGCATTTAGTAGGGCAAAAGTTAATACTTCAATCACTCTCGGCTTTTTTTCTTTACTTTCCCTTATGCGGCCATTTCTTTGCCCATCTTTTGGGTTCGTACAAATTTTTGTGCGCCATTCAGTGGAGCGAGAATTGAGAAGCGTCTGCAGTCACTTTTATTTGCCAAATTAAAAGGATTTCATTTGCTTTTCATATTTGCATTGGTTTTTATCGCCGCTGCCAGGCAGGCAGGCTGCGAGGCGACCGGTTTTGGCCCAGTGCCGATTTTCCCACACAATCACCATAAAAAAGGAATCTCGGAGTCATATTTTCAGCCCGTCGCTTTCCCATTTATTTTTTTTTT